ATATGAATGGTCTGGATATGATGGCCAAGGACGACACGATCACAGCTCGCTACGCAACGCCGGCTTATGCTCTTGCTGCGAACATTAAAAAATCTGTCGCGGAGCAGTTACGTCCACCGACCTCCAGGGCTCCGCTGACAACAAAGCCTGCCCACCGAATTAATCCGGTTTCAATAACCCTCCCTTCATCAGACGAGGAGCCCTCAACGTCTAGGGTCGTGGCAATGGCAGGCGATGAAAAGGTTGTGATCGAGTTTAAGGATTTCCGACAAACGGATCTGCAGGCTGCCCGAAGACGAGAGAATCGGATCAAGGCCCTGGTGGCACTACTCCAGATCAATCCCAAGCCTTCGAGCTACCGAATACTCGATTGCCGGGGCTACATCACACGATCGACGAAGCATTCTCATGGCTATGGCATGGTTTTCGACTTCCCTAAAAGTCTCAAGGACGAGGAAAATGCCAAGTACGACACGTTGGAGAGCATGCTAGGTAAACCAGGCGAAGAAGAGTCGTCTGTAACATTTTCGCTAGACTCTCGTTTCCGCCTGGCTGCTATACTTGCAGCTTCAGTTGCCGAACTTCACGCTGCTGATTGGCTTCATTATAACATCACATCCTCCAATATACTATGCTTCTCAGCGGATGAGACTCGGAGCCTGGAGTCAGCTTATCTGTCTGGGTTCGAGTTTGACGGCTATGACGACCCCAAAAAGATTTCCGAACCTGCTTTGCATAACACTTATCGGCATCCAAACTATCAACTCCCATTGCAAAGCCAGACTAAGTATGAGAGATCCTATGACATATACAGCGTCGGTATTGTTCTCATTGAGATTTTCCTCTGGAAGCAAATCGGATGCTTCCGGGAGGACGACATGGATGCCAATGCTTTTCGGCTACACTTGCAAGAGAAGGTGGTGCCCACAATAGGTTTCTACATGGGTAAGGAGTATGAGCAAGTGGTGCAGTTTTGTCTTAATACGGAGCTCCTTGGGATAGGGGCAGATGAAGGAAAGAGTTTAACAGAGGCATTTTCACGAAAGGTTGTCGCGGTGCTCGAGCGATGGTAAAGTTTCAGTTGTATTTTGTATATTTATGTAAGACTTTATATTGGAATGGCATAATAGTATCCAACAGATCCAGTAACTGATGTTTAGTGTTACTGACGAGCTAGAGGCCTTTGATTATCTTCAGCCGATATTCACTCTGTATTGACCTTAAAACTCGACTGTAGTGATAACGGTCTGCTAAAATCTCTATGCAAGCTACTTATTTTTATCGGCTTCCATCATTTTCATGAAGACCTAAGGGGCTACGTTAGTAAGAGTATTTTACATCGATTAGTGGTTGGTTGAAGCGGGCGTACATCAGGGTTGATTTCGACACCAGCATTTTGCATCTCCTCTGTCAGCTGCGTTACTCATTAGAACACTACTCCAAAAAAATCTAGCAGTTGTATATCCAAGGTTGAACCTACCTTTTGTGCTGCCTCCCTGAACTCCTTATCCATCATGAGCTTGAGCATATCCATCTTACTGGGCATATTACCGGGCTGGAAGCCTACTCATTCAGTGTGTCAGATTATCGACAAGAGTTATTAGTCAGTAGATGCGGGAATCGATGGAAGGACCTTTGTTCTGGATAATCTGGCTTATGTTTTGCATCGCCAGTATGGCACCAGGGTGCCGAGCGAGCTTCTCAAACGTGTCTCGAAGTTTGGGGTCACGATACATCATTTCTGCCATGTTTGGGGGGCCGGTAGAGGCATGTCGTCGAGAAGTGGCCTGCAGCTGTCGCACTGCAACGCGGCAGAAAGGCTGCGAGATGATTCTTCGTGCAGCAAACATCATTGCGATTGATTTTACTTGAACAATGTCATGAGCTCGTTTAACGGTGGTGGCGATATGGGGAAAGACGACTTTGTCGGCACCTCAGTACATGTGAGTGGGGATGGAATTATGACTGAAACGGGGGAGATGAGTCAGCACAACGAACGTGAAGTTCGGCCTCAGAGCCTTTGTTTCGTAGGTACTTGGTTGGTGATGATGGTGGTGCTACTAGATGTCTGAGCCCCAGACTGTTATGATTGCATACAGAGGACATGCCTAGGTATGAATTAATTATGGTCACTTACTCCGGGCTGGCCAGCCTTGTTGTTGCCTCACGGCTGCATCAAAGACAAGATGGTCACGTGAGTTAGTCGCATCATTAGCGCCGCTCACTTTCAACAGGTGCTCCACCTCAGAGCGACGGATTAACATTGATCAATGCCGCAGCAATTGAAAGTGAGAAAGTCATGGAGATATACATCAATGGATGATTACCATTTTAAGTTCTCATAGAAACATTATTAAGGAAGCTATGTCTTTGGCGAGGCTATCTTGTGTTTTTTTACTGTAGACGCCGATTAATGGAGCAGAGGAGCATGCTGTCAGGCCACACTCACGACTGCTGGATACATTACCCAACCTAATGAGATCACACGATACGTGTGTACACAATGGATGTGATGGGATCGACGCTCCAGCCACAATGGAAACGATGGGATAAGTTCAACAGAATCTTTTAAGAGACATTCATGGAGGGCGAAAGTTCCGCTGACCATCAAGTCTTCTGGCATTATCGCTTTCCTGATTACAATTTGCTCCTCTAGGGTATCCAGGGCTCTCTGCCGTCCTTCGGAATTCATCAGCCCCGACAATTGTCACCTGAAGGCGATGCACTCTCGACCACGCATTTTGCCTCTTTGGGAGGACAGACGAGGGACTGGACTGGACAGGGAAGCGGGATCTTGTCTGGATTCTCGATCTGGAATCTGGAATACCTACAGTGCCAGAACGGGCGATGGAGGGCGAGAGCAGCGGATCGGCATGCGTAGAGCTAGCAGCGCATGCTACTAGACAGGGGGTCAGGAGGTAGGCGGATGGCCAGGTGCGGCGGGAGCAAAACCTAACGAAAGAAGGGGGGAAAGATGGTTAAGAATAGGCATAAATATATTAGACTTCGTTTATCACGCCGGTGGAAATTTACAAAGCAGACCCCGTAATCGGTCAGGCGGAGGGAGGGAGACAGACGAGAAGGCAGAGTAGAGAACGGGGTTAGCTGGGACCTATATTAGAATGACTCTAAGCCCGACTAAGCATTAATGGCCGATGTACACGTTGAGCGTGAATGCAGGAAAACAGTCGACGACATTCTAGATCTAGGTCGTAGAGATGATTAGGGGCATCGCCTCATTGGAGCTAGTGAATAGATGACCGAGGCTCGTGGCCCAGCCGAGCTGAAAGCCTTATGGGGCAGGGGAAGCAGGCTCAAGCGGTGGCCCTTGGAGGAAAAAAAATGATTTTCTTACGCCAACAATCTGCTTGTTGACCAGAGGGGACGGTGTATTCCACGGCTTACTGGTTAAAGGGGTGCTGATGGTGAGGGTTTATTAGAACCCTGTCCACGTACGGCAATAACAATTTGAACTGAATAGAGAATTGTGTGTCTTATAAGCAGATGGGTGCGATGAGTGGCCTGGTGGAATGCGGGACGATATGTAGTAAATAGTGTGGGGGTTGGCTGGTGGTGAAGCTGGTGGTGAGAATCGTGGGAGAGTGTGCGGAGGGGACAGGGAGGTGTGTCTCATTGGCGCAGAATACGAAAAAACCTCGTTAGCGGAGTGTCTTAGGCTCAGCTCTGGCTCAGGCACAAGGCACCTGGAAAGTGCCGGAGCAGCCACCAGGGGTTCGGCAAGAGATCTATGAGCGGGCGAAGGCTGCTCTAGGCCAGACCATGACCCAAAAGGGACGAGGGCTCCGGCATCAACTTTGCCGCAGGGCACCAACGCTCGTGGTGTTTGCGCTGTCCAGGGGCTCGTTCCAGACGCCTCCCACCGCCTCGCACGACCAAACAGTAGTGTTCTGGACTATTGCGCACCTGAAAAGCCACTCGATTTTTTCTCTCTCTCCTGGGCTGTACCTCCGCCGTCGCGCTCACGCTTTCCCGCTCTGTCGAGTCCGTCGCCTGAGGCTGCGCGTGCGTGCCGGTGAGCATGACGAGATGGGGACGCTGATGGGGAGACAACAAACACAACTTCCGTCGATTTCCAACTGTGAAGCCGTTGGCCTCGTTGTCCGGTACCTCGTCAAGAGCGACTACAGCATTTGATTGCTCGGCTTCTTGACTACGGCTAGCTCCGGTGGAGCGTTGTTGCCGGACGATGAAGGGCGAACGAACCCTAAATTTAAGCATCCTGACCTCTGGCTTGGATGGAATATGTGGTTTATTCTTTGGGGTGGATGATTTCCAAGCGTTTCGCCTTGCTTCAAGGCATTTCATATTGCTTTTGTTGCTGTGCCACTGCACTCCTCCTCTCGATGGAGGATAAAGCAATCACTTGCCTCGGCAGGCAGAAGACAGGCAAGTATGAGGCTCGTCCCAATAGCCTGCTGCTGGTGGCATTCGTCTCTCGAGTAATCCGTTCCATGTGCGTGGCCTGGGCTCACATCACTCGCCAAGAGATGTCCCCGCGAGGACGTGCCGGCACCCTGGTCTCTGGATCGGGCCTGGAGTTCTACCCTTGGGCTCCAGACTGCATCAAGGACGCCGCCTAGGCGGTTCCTGGGAGATCGCACGGGTCCCTGGACCGGCCGCCACAGCAATAGATGAACCGCTAGCGTCGTTTAGCTGGACTTCTAGCCTGTCCCCTGGTGCCTTGGACTAACGATGTCCGATCGCGTGGCTCCCGAACCGTCCTGGATCCACGCTTCCTCTCCAGCTTCACAATAGCGGCTGCCAGCTCACAGCGGCTGGAACAGCCCAGATCCAGGGCCGCGCGCCAGGCGAGCCTCTGTCCGTGGCCTACAAGATGCCTGTCTCCCCGACTCAGATGTATGCCTTTGTGATCTTGCTATCCAAGCTCGCAATCAACAGCCTTACAGCGGCCCGAACAAGACCAATCCTCGCCTTTGGAATTGTAACCTGACCCCTCGAGGTCAAGCGGGCTTTTCAACATGTTGCAATCATACCTCTCGCTACTTGTTTTCTTCGCATTCGCTCGCTTTGCCATTGCTTCTGCCGTGACCCTCGAGGCCCGTGCCGGTCGTACCACCACCATCACATATGCCTGGACTGGTTGCACGACCACTACCCAGACCCGCGGCTCAAGGCCAACTACGCTCGCTGTATACACTCCTAGAACCCAGTGTGTTCCCGTCACTTCCACCGTCACTCAGAAATGGACTGGCTGCACCACTACCACAGTGACCCGTCCCATCAACACCTGGACGACAACTGAGTTGGTCTATGTCCCCAGGACCACCTGCACTCCCACCACCACAACCGTCAAACAGGCGTGGACGAGCTGCACATCGTCGACTTCTACCCGAACTGCCAATGCTTGGACCACAACCGAGATTGTCTACACGCCGAGGACCGTGTGCCCGACGCCAACGACTACCACAGTTCGCTCTGCCTGGTCCAGCTGTACCAGCAGCAGCACCCTCCGCAGTGCCAACACAATCACCACTACACAGGTGATTTACACCCCCAGGACCGTCTGCCCGACGACGACTAGGACCGTCACTGTCCCTTACGCCTCCTGCACGACATCGACGTCCACCACCACCATCCCCAATGGTCCCAAGACGGTCTACCTCTACTCGCCCAGGACGGTCTGCCCCGTTACCACCACGACCAAGACGTCCACCACCTCGAGCGTGGCAGCCACCACCAGCGCACCAGCGAGCACCTCCACTAACGCCAGCACCACCTCTGCTGCTCAGTCTACTTCGTCCACTGCAGCCCAGTTGACTTCATCAACAGCAGCCCAATCGACCTCTACTGCTATCCAGTCGACGTCTTCTACAGCTGCTCAGTCGACATCATCCACTGCTGCTCAGTCGACGTCTTCTGCTGCTCAGTCGACGTCTTCTACTGCGGTTCAGTCGACGTCTTCTACTGCGGTTCAGTCGACGTCTTCCACTGCTGCTGTATCCACATCGCCTTCTTCTAGCGCCGCCGCCTCGAGCACTGCTGCTTCTGAGACCCTAGCTACTACCACCCCTGCTGCCTCTACCACAGCTTCTAGTGCTGCTTCAAGCAGCGACGTCTCCAGCACTCCTGCTTCTAGCACTGATATTTCCAGCACGGCCTCAAGCACCGATGTTTCCAGCACCCCTTCAAGCACCGCTGTCTCAAGTACTCCCTCAAGTACCAACATCTCTAGCACGTCTGCTTCCAGTACACCTTCGAGCAGCGACGTCTCGAGCACTTCTGTCTCAAGTACCGATGTGTCTAGCACTGCTTCCAGCACGGGCGTTTCTAGCACCCCTGCCTCTAGTAGTGTTTCCAGCACTGCTTCAAGCACCGATGTTTCTTCTACACCTTCAAGCACCGATGTCTCTAGTACTGCATTGAGCACTGCTTCTTCTGAGAACTTGGCTGCTTCTAGCACCCCAGCTTCGACCTCGGACATTTCAAGTACGCCTTCAAGCTCAGCTGCCTCTAGCACTCCGGCTTCTACATCGGACGTCTCAAGCACTGTTGCTTCTAGTACCCCTGGTTCTATTTCAGATGCCTTGAGCACTTCTACTTCGAGCACGGATATTGCTAGCACGCCTTCTAGTACTGATATCTCTAGTACTGTCTTGAGCACTACTCCTTCCGAGAACCTAGCTGCTTCTAGTACCCCAGCTTCTACCTCGGACATTTCAAGCACACCTTCAAGCGCAGCTGTCTCTAGCACCCCTGCTTCTAGCACGGATGTCTCTAGCACCCCTGCTTCTAGCACGGATGTCTCTAGCACTTCTGCTTTAAGCACCGATGCCTTTAGCACTCCGGCTTCCACTACAGATGTCTCTAGCAGCACTCCTGCCTCCACTACAGATGTATCGAGCACTCCTGTCTCTACAGATGTCTCTAGTACCCCTGTGTCCAGCGCGGCTGCTTCTACAGATGTGTCTAGCACTCCCGGTTCGACAGATATCTCTAGTACCCCCGCATCTAGCGCTCCTGCTTCCACTTCAGACAGCTCAAGCACTCCCGTTTCGACAGATGTCTCTAGTACTCCTGTTTTATCAAATGTCTCTAGCACTCCTGCTTCTACAGACATCTCTAGTACTCCGGTCTCCACCGATGTCTCTAGTACTCCCGCATCTAGTGTTGCTGCTACTTCGACAGATATTTCTAGCACTCCAGCATCCTCATCTGCCTCCAGTACTCCTGCCTCTACTTCAGACAACTCAAGCACTCCTGCTTCATCAGATGTTTCTAGCACTCCTGCTTCATCAGATGTTTCTAGCACCCCGGTTTCTTCAGATATCTCTAGTACCCCGGTTTCTTCGGATGTCTCTAGCACCCCTGTTTCTTCGGATGTCTCTAGTACTCCTGCATCTTCAGCTGCTTCTAGCACTCCTGCTTCGACAGATGTCTCCAACACCCCAGTTTCTACTACGGATGCCTCTAGTACTCCTGCTTCTACAGATGCCTCTACCACTCCTGCTTCTAGCACCGGCATCTTCAGCACTCCCGCTTCCGAGACCCCCGTGTCTTCGACTGATAGTGCAATTGCCACACCTTCGGTCACTCCTGTGTCTACTACCGAAAACTACTGTGAGGCCACTGCTACTCCTAGCTCTACCTCGTCCTCTTCGATAGCTCCTGGTCCAGATGGAACCACCACATTCACTTATCCATGGGGTGATTGCACTGCCGCCTCTGCGGTGAGGAGTTCGACTGTATTCCTCTTCACACCCAGGTCGGCCTGTGCCGATACCACAACTCCATCGACAGCTGCAGCTACTACCTCTAGCTCAGAGGCAGCTATTTCAGTCGCTGCCTTGGTTGCGGGCACGACCTCTAGCTCGGTTTCTGAAACTGTCGCCAGCACAGTCTCGAGCTCGGAGACTGTCGCTAGCACTACGTCGCCCAGCTCATCCTCTGAGCCTGCTGCCAGCACTACCTTGCCCAGCTCGTCCTCTGAGCCTGCTGCTAGCACTACCCCATCTAGCTCTTCCTCAGACTCCACTGTTGCTGGTACCACTTCATCCAGCTCTTCCTCAAGCTCCATTGCTGTTAGCACTACCTCGTCCAGCTCATCCTCCGAGTCTGCTGCCAGCACCACTTCATCTAGCTCTCCTTCAAGCTCCACTGCTGCTAGCACTACTTCAAGCAGCTCATCCTCCAGCTCTTCTTCTTCGAGCTCCACTGTTGTCGCTAGCACAACCCCGATCAGCTCTTCCTCGAGCTCTACCGCTGCCAGCACTAGCTCGTCCTCAAGCTCAACTTCTGCTATTCTCAGCACTACCTCTACCAGCTCCTCTGCCAGCTCGACTGCAGCCGCTGTCACGACTTCTAGTGCGGTGTCGACTGTTGCTGCTCCCAGCACGACCTCTAGCTCGTCATCAACCAGCACTCAGTCATACCTGGCATCAACCACAGGCTCATCCTGCTCGACCATCAGGACTGGCTGCAAGGCGCTTGGTTGGGACATGGATATCTACACCAACACCTTCTACACCGGTTATGGCTACACCGGTACTGGTGCTAAGTCTGACTACTACTATCTTTCCGATAAGCTCTCCCCTCTGGGCTCAACTTACACAAATACCACCAACTTCGCGAGCACCACGACTTCAGGCACATACACTACAATCAGTGGCCAGAAATACTACACCAACTGGAGCGCCAGCATTGGCGGTCTCAATGTCAACCTCAACAACTTCACCGCTGTTTGGAGTGGCCTCTACAAGGCTACGACGACGGGTAACGTCGCGGTTGTCATCAGCACAGTGGATGACACCGCTTCCGTCTACTGGGGCCATGCCTACGCCTATGACTGCAAGACGGGTCTTCCAACCGCTTCCACGGCTGGCAGGAATCTGGTCGGTACTGGTACTTTCACCAAAGCGGTGGTTGCAGGTCAATATTACCCAATCCGTGTTGTTTTTGGAAAGGCCTCGGGCAATACCGCGAAACTCACCCTCACTGTGGCTGGGCAAGCTACTTCAAGCACCAACCCTATCTACCCCCCTGAATGCGCTATGCCGGCATGATGTATTGAAATTTGATTTCCGTTTTCCCTTTTGATAGATAAATTGTTCAACAATAGACTGAGATAATCAGGATAGAATAATATTCACTAATTAATCCAAAACATGATTCAAGTGTCTGGATCTTCCCTCTGCGTTAAAGATATGTTAAACCCACCAGCTTCACTGTAGTACCAGCTCTCGGAATACACGCACTTGGAAGTACGTTAGTGTCTCCCCTTACGAGTTATTTACTTGGATAACAGCATATAACCGCGATGCAGGTGGGCTGGGTTCGTACGCCTTGAGTTTACAGACTCCAACATCACCCACTTACGCAATTCACTTAACGTGCTCACTACTATATTCTAGTTTCATCCTAGGCTCGATGAATATGAAGGTTTCATAATATACCTCCCTTTTATACTAGACAATTTATATACCAGTTCTCCCGCTAGTCAGAATCTATAATTTGTTGAAAAGGTTGAGACCCTCATCTATGTTCAGATAAGTGTGATAGGGAACACCCCGATCAAGCCTAAATTTGATGTGAGCAGACTGCACGACGCTAACCTTCAAGCAGCTTGTATTTCTGCAGAGTGACGGGGATTGCACCTGATTCCAGAGCGCGGGCAATTAAGCGGTTCATCTGACAAGTCCCCTGGCGGACTTTGGAGTCTGTTAAGTCCGGTCTTAGCTCCGGTTCCTCTCGTATGATGTTCGTATGAGAAGAGCGTAGTTCACCAAACATTGAATGGCTTGTCAATATCGTACAACCAAGCTGTTTCGTGAAATATAGTGGCTTTTTTGACTTGGTTGGACCCTTGGACATATTAAAGATGGTCTCACAGCCCGTAACTAGAGGGTTCGTTTCACTCTCTCCGATGCAGCAGTTGGTCGAGGTATGCGTATCACCTTGCTGTGGTAACAATTCTTGTCATGCAGCTCACTAGTTTAGGCGAATGATACAGATGATAATTGGACAGGCCTCTCGGACCCAGCTGCTCGACGCAAAAGACAGACGAGGCTAAACATGAGAGCGCATCGTACGTCCTGACAAACCCTGGAGGCAACATCCTTTTGACTTCTAAGCTAACACTCTTCAGGGCGCCGAAAAGCACTTGAAGAAGCCAATATATCCCAACAAGAAGGTCTTGTAGCTTGCTGGGACGATCAACACCAGAAGGTGCTCTATCTACCAGAATCCCAAGCTAAAGCGCTGAATTATGATCATACCTCGCCGGTTATAAGACAAAATTCAGCCGGAATTATCTTCCCTCTATCGTCTGACCATCTAATGATATTAATTCAATTCAATGTCATGCGTGCTGTGGCCTTCAACAAGCGTCTACTCTCAGCTCTAGAACCGGATGGAATATTTTATAATTACACGCCTGGCATATTACGTGTCCTCCCCACGTTAGTTAATGTTCAACAGCTTCCCACAAGTTTACACCCTACCAAAACCCAATCAATAATTCCACATGGTGGTTGGATTGATATCTTCCCACACCCGACATGGCGGGACAATTTCATACAAGCCGAAGGCAGGTTTAATGAGTACGACCTGTGTTCCGACATCTTGGGTGGTTTGTTCCAGGGAGAACTTGCCGCTGAGTGCGAGCGGCGTGGCATCGTTGTTTGGTCGCCTCCCTGGGACTTCAATGGCTGGGAGCTGTCGGAGGGATTTGTGAGGAAGTGGGGATGGTCTATCAAAGGATGTAACGACGTTCTTGAGGCTACCAATAAGTGGCGTTTGTTGAGAGGAGAGAAGCCCTTAGCTTTCGAATGTTGACGCCTTTCATTCGAGGTGAAACTCACGTAACGAATATATCTATATCTCTACCTTCTTCCCACAGCGTTGCGTGCACCTAGTTTCCATTGTTAATGCATTATTACTTATGATAATTTATAAATATGCCTGGCAAGACATCTTGTTCTTGCTGCAAGCGAGGAAAGTAGCCAGCCATTGTGTTATTTGTTACATATGCATGCCGCGCGTCGCAAGTGGAGAGCTTCATGCGAACATTAGTTTAGTACACTGGAAACTTGATTTATGAACTGTCGATGACACGCGTAGTTAACGATGGTTTACTTGATTTCTGAAAAGCTACTCAAAGATTCATCACCTTGAGGGTTACGTTCCAAACTCCTTGCCATTGAACTTTTACCTGACTACTGGTGCAATCTGATGTCTCTGATATGAATGACTGGTTTAAGAAAACGGTCGGCGTATCTATCACGCTTGTGACATACGCGTATTTGACTGAGTCGCGGAAACCTTTCTCGGATTTATGGTGGACTGTTACGGACAAGGTTTAGGCTTGTTGGGAGAATACGAGCTCTGGGAATTATTGGTCTTCCATTGGCTTCCCCAGTTTCGCAGATCGATTCATGAAACTCGTCAAATTTACTCAGTATTATACTCCTTCATGGTTATACGTCGACAAACATCTGCCATGAAATCGTAAGCTAACAAATGTACACCTAGGGAAATTGGAAATACTGTAGGATCTTTGTTGAGAGGAACGACTAACATTCAGCCGTAGGTTCTTGCTTCTTTTCATCCTTGAATATCGTCGGGCCGCGTATTGAGCGTCGGCTGATGGGTTTCATAATCCCCACGGAAGTGCCGGTTTTAGTGGTCGGAAGAGACATTCCGGTTTCGTGACCGCAAGATTGACGACAAGGGCCCTCACTCGCTGATCAGCCCTGGTTTGAACCATTGAGATTTGAGGCTGCAATTTCTGCGGCATGACACTGACGCGCGCCGCCATTTAGATCCACATGGGTGTTTCATTGTGAGCGATGACACGAGAATGCAGATGGTTGGGACCCATCCGCGTTTTGCATCTATCCAGGATCGGCACAGTAATTGTTCCATACTTTGCAGGCTGAATATATAATGCCCTCTGCTATCATATTTTCCAGCTTCAATCGAATCCAGCCCATTAGCCTCAAGTTAACATTCATTCACCATGCTTCGACTTTCCTCCATCGTGTCTCTCCTTGCTGTGGCGGCTTCAGTTACCGCTACGCTCGACCCAGCTTCTAGCAATAGCAAGGGATATTATCCGGCTTCTCCAGCATGCTCTCGTATGTCTAATCCCTATCAATTTGATGAAAAAGTTAAAGAAAGTTGCGTTAACACGCCGAAAGCTGCCAAGACCTCCAAGGCCATCCAGGCCGCAGAATGCTCTCATAATACCAGAGTATCCGGCAAGCAGACCTTTGCAGTCTTCAAGGTCGACCACCAGTACGACAAGAACAACGGCGCACCCTATGGAACGTGCCAGGTAATTGAAAACTCTCCGACATTTCAAGGAGAAACCGTCACTAATAGCTCGTCAGGCGTATACTTGCACCGCCCCCACGCAGGCAGAATTGACTGCCAACTCCGACTACTGGGTTTTCTTCTGGAAGTAAGTTCTCCTTTGGCACATATAAGCATACGATTTATATGTGCGTGATTCTAATCCGTGTATAGCGACAATGGCGCCGAATCTGGCGTCGGCACAGGTTGTATCCGATCACCTGACGATGGAACGTGTGGATGCGAAAACTCGGACGGAACCTTCATCCCTGGAGGAACAAACTGTGTTTAAATGGCCCCAAGATGCCTCTTGTTCACCCATAGTGTATTTGTATATGCTTAGTAGTGTCGGAAGTCTGTTTGAGCTGGGCTTATCAGCACCGATCCTATAGGCTTGAAATACTGGCCAAGCCTTGCGTTCCATATCCATATAGCCAACTAGAGAGGACTATGAGAACCTTGGCTTAGAGATACTTATCTCTGGCATTAAATAACCCTAGCAGCTTTAGGATAGAATTGAATGTCCATCCACTAGTATCACGCTCATGGGAGCCCACAGAGTCCCCCTTCAGAAACACGTCTCATATCAAACTATACCCTCAAACAACCCCAAAATATTAAAGCTTCAGGGATTCAATGGTTTATTTTATGGATGGAATGCATTCCAGGTTGGTTCTATCTGATTTGTGGAAAATAAGCTCTAGTGACCACATACCATGGGTGTCATGGATTGGTGACACTACGCACATCCTGCATTCTTGAGATTCAACTTACATATGGTCTGAACTTTAAACTTACAAATGGTACTTATAAATAGCAGATGAGCGACGATATGATTCCAAGGTCTGGATCTTCGGCAAAATATTAATCGTGGTTTGAGACAGAGATTAGGAATCATTCGTTCAAACCACGTGTGTGGGCTAGTCATACAATATCACGGGCGGTGAAGACAAACGACAATCACACATTAATCATGGCAATCGCTTCCGAAGGAAATGCAAATATCATTCATTGAATTTTCTTATAGCTGGGACTACAAGGGGGGGGAAATCAACTAAACAATGAAGCAGAAGAGGCTGTGGGGCTCATGTTCTGGTGCATCAGTTTGAATGCGACGCAGTCTTCCCAGCACAGGGTTATTTCAACTCGTCCGTAATCCCAATTCGCCGGGAAATTTCTAATTCATTAAATAGGCCAATTGACATATACATTTACTCCCTGCTCGCGTAAGACCCATCGCAGTTAGATCGGTGCACTGGCGGTATTCACCGGTAGCTGTAACCACTCTTGACCAGCTTGATCGCGTTAACAGTCGCATCATCCACGCTCTCCTCATGCAAGCCAAGAACTTCATTGGACAGCTTGTCCTGGAAGTTCCCATCCCCGTTGGGATAGAATGTGCGTGTGTACATGCATATCCCGAATCCCAGGTGAGAGCCGCTCTTCAGGAGCTCGAGGCCCTTCTTGTACCGAGCCTCCGATGGCTCATACTTGATCTCCCAGTCTGCATCCTTCGTCCCCAATGCCTTGTGCACACTGTCAAGCATGTCTCTCTGGGATGTAAGGAAGCTCGAGATATAGACTGGCTGGTTACGCCATTGCGAAATGGTCGGCGCCGTGTCATTCGCATCGTCGGGCAGCTCCTTCAGGCTGAGAAGACTGGCAATGGCGCGGCCGCACTGCTCCAAAGTCGACGTATTGATGCGCGTCTTGCCATCATCAATCATGGTGACCTTCCGGTTTGCAAAGTCAAACCCGAACCAGCCCTCTCCCAATGACAGCGAGTGCTCATACCAGAAACCGCAAACGAGGGCGATCCAGGAGGAGACGCCTGCCGCCTCGATGGCGTTGGTGCTTGCTCTGACGCCGGCTCCAATCAGGTTCTCGTTGGCTAGGGATTCGTTGATGAAATCCGGGCCCGTGCAGTTCGGCATAACCCAGGGGACGCCGGCCTTGGCCGCAGCGGCGATGAGCTTGCCCTGCGTTTCCTGGGGCGCCATGACGGACAAGGTGATGATGAGGAACTGCTGTCCCTTGAGGGCGGAGACGAGAGAGCTCTCATCGTCGTAGTTGACGCGGGCGACCTTGATGCCCTCGGGCAGCGTGTTTGTGCTTCCGACGCGGGAGATGGCGGTCACGGTGTGCTTGCCTGTGGCCAGAAGAGCCTTGGCCATGTGGTTTCCAACTCCGTCGCCTCCAGCCTAATTGAGCACAATGATTAGTTCATGAAGCTTGCTTGAAGGGTATTTTGCCTTTGACGGGGGTTGAGACGAACACCAACGATAGCCACGCGTTCAATTCTGTTTGTGAAGCCCGAAGGCTGGTCCTTGGCGTACTTTTGAGGAGCCATGATGAATTGAAGGATAAGATGATATTGTTTTGCACGATTGAACTGTGAGAAGGATGGATATTCGAATTGAAGACATTCTGAGCAGTGCTGTCCAAGCACGTTAATATATACACCCACTCCAGCTTTAGCTTCAGCACACTGTTGTCGGATGACACACAATCATTGATTCATTGATCGATATGACCAGTAGACCGAATCGGCAGCGAATAATTACATCTCCAGCATCGCGGGCGCATAGAGGCTGCCCGCCGGAGATAGGAAGCTCGCTCGTGGTTGTCTAGGCTTGGTAATTATCTTCTCCGTTGTTAAACTCTCTCTTAGCCTCGCCTGGAGAGCACCAGGAGCATACATTAGGAAAGCGCCGGGCCCGGCTTTCTCCACTGGTGTCGACTGACATTTCGGTCTCGCTCTACCGTTTCTCCGTTCTTCGGTATTAGACATACGGCGATATAAACTCCGGGCCTGTAGAGCCGCAAAGCGTCAGCTATCGCATCAAGCAACCGCCGAATGCGCTTAAATGAGTCTGCAAATGCTGAACGTGGCGTAATCAACGCATCATGTATAGAGGCGTTTGTCGAATGTTGTATCGCGTAAGCACGTAAGCAAGGTTCGTCGGTAGCCAGAATACCGCGTTGCTGCCGTACATTTGGCCATAGCCCTGGTCTGCGCTTCACAGAACAAGCGGCTGCTAGATCGATGTACTTGAAAGAATTTGTGGTGCATTGCTCATTAGCCAGTCCAAGCTGGCAGATGCGAACGGGGTTCAGAACGGTGTTCACTGAAGCTCTGGCAATCCAATCCCGGTCCTCCCTGAGCAACGAGGGGAGTCACGTGAGCTATGTATATAACTTCCTTGCTTGTAATCGGATCATCAGCCATTTATGAGTGCCTTGGAGGCAACCAATCATTAATTATATCAATACCTACTTTGTAGAGTATCGGCCGAGTCTGGCGAATGTGAAATCCCTTGTGTATGAGTGGCCAGAGAAAGGGTCGTATAAAAGACCACGGGACCCCGCCTGCCCGCTTTCGATCGAAGATCGTTTTTCTCCTCACTCTCCTCCTCCCGACACTTCCGGGACATGGCACAATATAAGAGCAGTCATCAGAACGCACACGCGCGGGACAGCCTCTGCGGCTTCTTTGTCATTTCCAAAAACCAAAGAGGGAGGAAAGAGTCGTCTCTCGGACGATCTATTATAAATTTCTCTATCTGCTGATCGCTGACACCAGGATCCCGCTCTTCTCGAAGAGACATTGTCGGGTCAATCCAGGCAAGGAAAAATCAGTCTTGCCAGGCATAATTCAACTTCAAAGCCGTCAATTTCAACATGATGCTCGTTTTATTTTCACCTTGTCACATTTCGCCTTTACAACAAATAATATCCCAATTTGCATACACGGATGGGGGGTTTCGTTTTCGTTCGTTTCAATCGATCAAGAGACACACATGAGCTTCGTCTCCATTACTGAGGGGCCGACAGCTTGGCAGGCTTGGTCCCCAGACCATTGCGGTTGCGGAAGAACAGGATGCTCTTGGCCGCTCCCTCGGCGCCCTCAGTAGGCTCAACCCACTGGCACATACGGGCACTCCTGTACATGGCACGGATGAATCCCCACGAGCCGCCCTCAACATCAGCACGGTAGTGCTTGCCCATGACGGGCTTGATGGCCTCGGAAGCCTCATCAGCCTTGTAGAAGGGAATTGTGCTGACGTAGTGGTGCAAGACGTGGGTCTCGATGATTCCGTGGAAAAGCTGTCGGCCGATGAACCCGAACTCGCGATCGATGGTAGCAGCGGCGCCACGAACGAAATTCCACTCCTCAGAGTGATAGTGAGGAAGGGTAGGGTCGGTGTGTTGGAGGAAGGTAATGGCGACTATATGGTGAGTGGTTAGCTGGCTGAAATATGGCCATGCGGATCTCAAATTGGGAAGTGCGTCTACTTACCAAGCCAGTGGTTGACCCAGAGGTAGGGAATGAAGTACCAGACGAGCATATTGGTCAATCCAAACTTGCTGCTCAGGAAGTACAGAGTCCCTACGGTCAGAGCGATACCGATGTCACTGACGACAATATATTTGGCCTCCTTGTTATCGAAGATGGGACTGCGTGGGTCAAAGTGGTTGACACCACCACCCATACCATTGTGCTTGCCCTTGCCACGGCCCTCGCGTTGACGCTCGTGGAAGTTGTGGCCAGTGACATTGGTCAGGATGTAGTTGGGCCAGCCAAAGAGCTGTTGGGCAATGAGCATGCCGAGGCTGAAGATGGGAGTCTCGGCAGTGAGTTCCGACAGCTCATGGATCATCTTGCCGACGCGAGAGGCATACTGCTCGCGAGTCTTGGGCACGAAGACCATGTCTCGCTCCATGTTGCCAGTGGCCTTGTGGTGCTTGGAGTGGGAGTATTGCCAGCTGAAGTAGGGGACCAACAGTGCGGAGTGGAGGAGCCAGCCGGTGGCGTCGTTGATCAGGCGCGACTCGGAGAAGGCCTGGTGGCCGCACTCGTGGGCAATGACCCAGAGACCGGTGCCGAAGAGGCCCTGGAGGAAGGTGTAGACACCCCAGAGGACGGCACGAACGGGCATGAGGGGGATGTACTCGGGAGTGACGAAGTTATACCACACATAGAATGTGGTGGCCAGGCAGGCCATGTCGCGGAGGATGTATGCCCAGCCAGTGATGGCGGAGCGCTCGAAGCAGTGCTTGGGGATGGCATCGCGGATGTCCTTGATGGTGTAGTCGGGCGGGGTAAACTCGTTGCCGTTGGTATCGATCAGAGGGCCGTACTTGGCCTTGGCGTCGAACTCAATGGATGACATTGACGACAAGGAGGTGGAGGAGGCAGAGGGACGAGGAGAATCGCTGGGGGAAACTGCGGCAGAGGACTCGGAGTCGGTGACTGTGGTCGACGTCGCGGTTCGCTTGAGAGCTGGGCCACGCCTGGCGGCACCAGAAGCAACAGCGGATGCCATGATGAATCGGCCTTTCTTTTCCCTGGGGGAACTCTGTGTCTGTGCTGTTGGACAATTGGGTCCCCACGAGTTCCAATTGACAACTGAGAATCAACTGAACGCTCGCTGAATATGCCGAGAGAACGGGTGGGCAAGGTGGAAGGGAAAAGGAAGATGTTCTGGCGGGGAGGTGGGCAGGAAGTGGGAAAGGGAGGATAGAAAAAGGTGAGCTGGCCACCCGAGTCAGGAAGCAGGGGTCACAGAATCAGGAGAGATGTATGTTGCCGTACCTAGAAATGATAAGCCAATTTTTTACTCCTTTGTCCAAAAAATTCAAGGGCAGGGAAAAAAGGCGGCTTGCAGGTGGCCGCGGGCACCAAAGATGCGAGGGGTGGAGGGCCTGAGGCTAGTCCAGGCCGGCTCGTGTAGGTATTTTTTTGTTGGGGTTCGGTCGTGGAGCCAGGGACCAAAGTCATCCAGAACGGGGTCCGGAAGGAAGGGCCAGACAAGAAGGAAGAAGCCGACTGCCTTTGAGGAAAGAACTGACGCCCCCTGCCAGCGCATCTCTATTATTGTTCCTATTCCAAAGCAACGACGACAAAATCACATGTTTTTTGCGTCCGAACGCTGGCCGACGCGGTCGTGGTGCCGGGGACACCTGCAGCAAGCAAACCGACGAAGGATCCCTCCAACCCTCCATCAAGCAAAGTTGATGATAAGCTATGTGCCTGTCCGGGGCTAGCACGGTAGTCCGATGGCTAGCACGCACCGAGGCATTGGCCTACGATAGGAACGTGGTTAAGCACACCATGGCCAATGGGTCAAGGGCCCGTCAGCCATCCATCTCATCCACCCACCACACACACAGAGCTTCCACCAACGCCACCCACCATCAGCAGCCATTAGCACACGATTCAGTGTGTGTACATTGCCGAACAGCCTATTATATTACCTGGGCGCGGTTCATGGCTGCCACATTACTCATGCCAGGTATGGACCACTGCCCTAGATCCGATCTACGAAGCGCCAGATGAGCAAACTCTTTCTTCTAGAAGTACACAATGCTACATTGTGGGTGACGCAACTTGTTTCCTAGTCCGGCCTCGTTGGAAACCCATGAGCAGGAAAATCCCTGCCTGCCCTACCACAGTATGCGGGTGGAGGTCAGTGGAGGAGTTGCCAGCCTTGGCCCCTGGGCTATCTCCAGTCGGTGCAACAAGTGACGATAAATTCCCGTTCAGAACAATGGCGAAGAGTTCGGCACAGCCCAGGAATGTACATACCAAGGCCTATCAACTTCACGTGAGATGCCGTTGCAACCCTTGGTATTGTAGGAGGCCCTTGTGTCTGGAAAACGGCAAGGCGCATCGACGGAGAGAGAGCTATTCAGTCGGCTGCCTCTGGCTATTCCTTGCTCGCTTCCAGGTTCCCCGCCGCCACCAGAACTTGATGCACCTCGACAAATGGATAGGCGGTGATTAAAACACAGTGTCCTACATCCACCCCAATCATCGCGCAGCTAATTCATTGACCGCCACGGAGGCCAAGGCAGATATGAGACATGCCGCCGGTAGTGCCATTATTACCGCCGGCGCGGAAGATATCCATTGGGTTCAGCTCGGGCTATGTCGTTTCGTCCAACCCAACGACCCCGCCCCCATGAAGGAGGATCCGTTGACGACGGAGAATTGCCGACAACAATCATGTGTCCAAAGGCTCTTGTGTCCTGGCGCTTATGCTCTGTTCCTTGATGGTGTGATGCTGGATGATTCTAGCGGTCGCATCTTACGTTATCTGTATTTGCTCCGAAGCAAAATTCCATCCCACCTGATCTGTCGCTTTCAGCTTTCAGCTGGCCATGCAGCGCGACACAAAAACAGAGCTGAACAAAGCAGATGCTTGCTCCTGATGGATTGGTCTCTATTGGTACACGTGGTCTGCTAATGCAGTCCAAATAACTATTGGACCGTGTTGAAGCCGGTTCATGTAGGTCGTAGCTCGGCCGACAGCCCAATGCCACCTCTGCCATCACATGTAAGAAACAACGAGCTCGGAATTGGTTCTCAAGTCCCGCAATATGATCTACATGGTTGGCCCCACACTGTATAAATTGTGAAAAGGGACGGGGAGAGGGGGAACCCTGCGACCGTCCCGTCCAGCGACAGGTCCCATGCCACCTACCAGACCAGATGCTCCGGATACTCGAACGATGAGGACGAAGATGCGGCCGTGTTGTCCCGGTGTGGCGTCACGGGGGGATCAATTTCTGGCCGGAGAGCGAAACCGAGAGGACGGGGGAAGCAGTAGGATTGCATCGCAGCCGATTGGTTCCGTCAGCCCGGGCGGACTGAGCGGACTGTGTTCTGTCTCTCGAGGCGATGTTTCTGTTGGGAAATTTGTTGAGCTTCCCACTTTGCACATGTCTTTTTATTCCCCGACTGGCATTTCCAGGCCAGACAAGCACTGGATGGACCAGGGCCTCCCCACTGCCACTGTGGCCTCTGCTGACTGTCCCCCATCCAGCTATTTCCGTCCGCTATTACACGTATCGCGCTGGCTGCCCCTCACCGTGCGTGCATACTGCTGGTTCAAGTAGGACCCTTCACCCTTTCTTCAAGGTTACTCAAGTTCCAACGCTGTAAACTTTTTTTTTCTAGTGGGGAACCCAACCATCGGCCCCCCACACACGTTCCGGGTAGTTGTCGATACTCGTATCATGGCATGATCCGGAAGGAACTACACCAAGTCAGATTTCTCTGTCATATTAAGAATTATCACCAAAGCCTCATAATCCACTAAGTTGGCTCTGCACGTGACGTCTTGATCAATTGGGGAGTCTTTTATTCTGATTATATTCTACATGATTTTAATGGTTATTGTTATCTAATCACCCATACGGTTTTCCCATCTAAACCCTGCTGACCCAACATAATTGCCTGCCTTCACGCATCGTCACTCTGTTCCGAACATGTGAACGCTTTGCTATGTCGTCCATCGACTGATGGGGGCGCATCTCTTGCCATTTTACCTGAGCTCCGATGTCTGCTCCTGCCTTTTTTTGCCCTTCTTCCGCTCTCTCTTCCGCATCTTCTCGTCTGCCTCTCTCCTCTCACTCTCTTCTCTCTCCTTCGCCTCTCTCTCCTTCGCCTCTCTCTCCTCCGCCTCTCTCTCCTCCGCCTCTCTCTCCTTCGCCTCTCTCTCCTTCCTCTCCTTTTCCGCCTTCTTCCTCCCTTTGTTCTTCTTTTGTTTTTGCTGAACCTGTTGCTCTGGCTCCCTTTTGCTCACCTCTTTGTCATCGCACTTGCTCGTATTTCCTTCGTCTTCACTTGAATCCGACTGTTCCTCGTCCCTAGGCTCCTTCTTGACCTTCCTCAATTCTTCCTTCGATATTCGACGGCTCTCTTCTTCTCGAATCGTGCGGCTGTCTTGCGGAAGTTTTCCAGTGTCTTTGTTCTTTCCCAGAATATTGCTCTCGTCATCCGATCGTCGATGGCTCGACTTCTTGGAGCAGGGTGTCGAGGGAGGAGGCGTCAACCCCTGTGTTGGTTCATGCTCAGGGGAGCTAACACCCTTTCCCTTACGATTATTTGCTGGTCGCGGCGCTGCGCTGCTGCTGCTGCTGCTGCTGCTGCTGCTGCTGGGAACATGTGACTGGCTGGCGCGTGAGCCAGATTCATCATCTGAGGCTATGAGGATCACCTCGTCCTTTGCTGTGGGAAACGCCTTGGGTTTTGCTGTGCGCGGCTTCTTCTTCTTCCTCTTCTTCGTCGGCCTTGCAGATTCCATCGGTATCGGAGCTTCTGTCAGTGTCGGAGCTTCTGTCGGTGTCGGAGCTTCTGTCGGTTTGGCAGCTGGAGGCAGAGGTATCATCGGCGAGTCGAAGGTGATGGTTCCAGGGGTGGAGCATTCCCGCTTGCGCTTGCTCCTGCTGCTGTTGGAGGGCACTCCTGGGTTTGTTTCTTCAGAACGGACGCTAGGTGCTTTCTCCCCATCTGTGTCATTGAATTCAAAGATGTCGCTTGTGACGGGCTGATCAAATCGCGGCTGCTGGGAGCAGCGGGCATCTTGCACGGGAGGCGCTTTCTCCTTGCCCTTTCTCGTCTTCAAAAGCTGAAGTGGATGCTGGCCGTTGGGCATTGCCGGACTGTCTTTGAGGGGGATTATGTATGCCAGCGTCGGCGTAGGCCAGGCATTGGCTGTAGCTTCATCATCATCATCCCCAGGGATGCTTGAATCCTCGCTCGAAGCCCTCTCTTCAGGCGTATCCTGCGCTTCCTCCGAATGGTTCGCATCAGTGTCCGGAATGTCATCAAAGTTTGAGGTATCAGCCACATCGTCGGGTGAGAGCCCCAAGAAGTCATCCAGAGCCTTATTCCCCCCCTCAGCTGCCTTAACAACGGATATGCCCTCCTCAATGCCGTTGCGGAATTCAGCATAGTTCCGTCCCCAGAATATCTTATTCCAAGTACTCATCAGTTGAATCAAGCTCTTGCCATGGGATTGTGAGTCGGTCAGCGGCCCCTGGGTTTTCAATGTGCGTCTTCCTGGTTTACACAATTGAAGCAACCTTTTTTGAAGGCCGTTTTCGTTCACAAGGAGACGTTGCAACCGTTGAGGGAGTCGGTTGAACACGATATTCCTGAAACGGGGTAATTTACAGGTAAAGTCCAAGTAAAGAAAGCGATGGCGTATGAGTTCATTGAAAAGAATCTCTTGATCCCGCTCACCGAGTACCTGGGGTTGAACCTTGGGCTTGGTTTGTTTAGATATTTTCTTTCTTTTTGCTGGAATCGCACGCTATGCACGCCCATGTGTGAGTAATGGTCACCATCTAATCAGATTCTGAACACGAGACAATACTTACGCGCCCAGAAGAATTGTTCTTCTTCTTTGTAGCAGGCTCCTTGGGCCGGTTTGGCTATGTGTGGTCAGGTCTTCGTATGCACCTTCGTGTTCACCGGGATTGATGTCGCTAAGTGAAGAGACAAGCATGGAGATGAAGTGCGTAACATACCTTTGCCGGTGCAGTTCGTGCTGTCTGTGGTTGTCCAGATGGCTGGTCCGGGTCAGGCGAAGGTGAAATTGGATTCCCGTAATGGACAGAGCTAGGTTCTCCAGGCTTGACCTGACCACCTGGATACACTGCCACAGGGCCTCGGTTCATTGTCGCTCCAGTGAGCGAGGTCGTGGGACCTTGATAGGCCTCCCCTTGCAGCTTTTCATAGAGAATTTTCTCAGCCGCGGGAGTCTCTCGGTGAACGAAACCGCTTTTGAGCCGGTTTTCTGGTCTCTGATACTCTGTCTCTCTGCGGGTGTGATCACCCGACTGTCCTTGCCCGACAGGACGTCGTTGCAAGCTCATGGATGACGAGTGACAGTAAAGGAAGCACAAGTGGGACTGGTTGACCAGACCGAAATGACCGAGAGACTGGGTATTTCAAGTGAAGCGGGGGGCGGGATCCGGATGGATGAGAGAGTTCGGTATTGTCAGGACAACAATCGACATCCTCCCAGAGGGAACAATATACGTACTCACTGTCCCCAGGTAAGCGAGCCACCTGCATATCTTTGGCTTCAGCCCTTGTCTCAAATTTCCCGCCATTCGATGAGTCGCTTGGCCTCGTGCTGGGATAGATGCAGCCACCGTTACACGTGGATACTCTCGAGGACGAATGAGCCCAACCTCCCTGAGATCTAAGTGCTCCCCAATATAGTCGCCGTTTAAATGCCAAGCCCCAGTAGGTTTTTGTATAACTCACTCATAGGAATTTATATTGCTGATGTACTTGCCGGGTCAAATCATGGCCGTGTCAAGCATCAATGCAATGAGGGTGTGAACACCAATCTTCCAATTCGTGATATCCTGGCCCAGCCACTGTCATTTTCCCGCCAATTTTTCTGTTCGGTTCTGTATAAAAAGAAAAGAAAAGCATCAGAACTAGTCCAGTTAACAGAGCAACTGGACTCGTAACCGCTATCTCACAAAAGCAAACACAACATGAAGTAATCCTGCAGGGACATGCATCCAACCAATAGCACGTCAGTCATCAGCACTATGAGTGGTGGGAAGCGTCACATCAACAAGCAATTTTGACGCACTGGCCTCGGGGCATGCAGGTCGCCGAATTGTGTTTTATCTCGCATGTAGGATCGAGGAAATTCCGCGAGTTCCAGGCTCCAACGCCGCCTGCCTGTCACCCTACTATCTGGTTTCATGGAGGGACAAGGTTCAACGTGCAAAAAGAAAATCCCAAAATTAATTTTACCATCACCCTGATCAACCCAGTAGGCAAGGTAGTATCACAGTAATAGATTTGAGGCCACACAAGAAAAAATTAACAACGCCAGCCTCTTTCAGGTCAAACGCCCGCCATCCAAGCACTATCATCAGAAGTCGAGTTTCACAACCCAATTCCTATCAGCCCATTAAAAAATTTTCTCGTCGATCACCAGGGAAACATCTTCCCCTCATTTTCGACAACTTGCCGCAGTCTCTGGGGCATGGAGTCGACCCACGCGTTGACCTTCGGCTGCTCAATGTTAGCCCACGCGTCGCGGGCCGCCTGTTTCAAGCCTTCGGTGTCCCAATTCTCCAGTGGCTGTGTGGCCCATTGCTTGTGAGGCGGCCACAGAGAGTCCAGCGGGTTGAGGTCGGGACTGTCAAGGCAGTTGAAGTGGCACCTCAAGCCATTCTCCTCTTTCCACTGTTGAGCCGGGTTCACTTTACTGGCCGCGCCATGAGCAAACGACTCGATGTCCTCTTCCAAAACAAATGGCTGGGCGCCCTCTGCTGAAATCCACGTCTTGACGACACCATCCAGCACCTTCTCGCAATAGTCTTGCATTGAAATCACCCCGCTATTGTTCGGGCTCGTAGATTCGTCGTAGAAAAGCAGCTCGGACTTGAAGTCATACCCAATTGCGGCCCAAGCATGCACTCTTTTGATGTCTCGGGCCCATGCAATTGCAGCCGGCTGGTCAGTGCAGCCCTGGCAATACTTCTCTCCCAGCTTTGGCAGCAGTCTCACCTTGCCATCCAGCCCAAAGCCAAAGTGCAGCTCACCGCTGAACCGCACGGCGTGCCAGTCCTGGGGCTGGGGGAAAGTTTCGAGCATGCGCTCTGCGTGCTCGACACGCTTCTCCCGCGTCTTCTTGTGCACCCAGCAACGACTGCACCCCATGCAGCGGCGGTAGCCCATGGTGCCCATGGTGCGGTGAAGAGTCCTGGCATTGCACTCTGTCTCGAGGCCAGCCTCCTTGGCCAGCTTGGACCAGTTGAGATTGACGTTCTCGTACTGCTCGTCCCACAGAATGCTCTCCATCTTCTGCTGATCCGCCTCGGTGATCTTCGAGGGCCGTCCCCGCGTCTCCTCCCACTCTGGATCATTGCGCCTGGACGCAGGGATGTTGAGGGCCGCATAGCCCTGGGAGCGCGATAGCTCGAAGTGGCGGAAGATGGCCGACTTGTTCACGGGCAGACCCTGGGACTCTAGGTAGGAGATGGTGCCGCGGACCATGGCCCGTTTCGGCGTGTCTCCGTGCTTGTATCCGCTTGGCATGATGGCGCTTGTCTGGTGCGCGCGCGACTGGGCGGAAACCTTCTTGACGGGCGAGACGCTGGAGCAGAGGGAGGGAGGGAAACAATAAGTGTGCGGTTGTTTTTGTCAAGATGATCTCCCTTCCCATGGTGGAGGCCAATTTTTCGCCCCGCGTCGGGTTTGTGTTCCGGTTCCGGTTTGGGGCATCAGTAAACCCACCAGAGGCACGTGCCCCACCACAGTGACCTACCACAGAACAGTAGTCGCCTTCTTCCTCAAAGTCAGAAAGGGGCTGACCGAAAGCATGGCTCCTCGCGATTCAACGGTAAGAAACGTGTCAAGGGTTTGGGAGGCCCACCTCTCCCGTTGAACAACGAGGGGACGGCTCTGGCCGATCGTCGATCTTCGCCAATCGAGGAAGAGAAGGGGACGGACCGCCTTGACTGCTTCGACTTTGCCATCATTCTTCTCTGCTACTGCTTGGAAGCAACGCAGTTATTTTCAGGTCCAACATCTCCTCACTCGCTTCTTTCTTGGGTTGGCAATTTCTGCAGATAATTTTTGCAGATGGGGGCAAATGGCGCTGGGCTAGTTGGCTTAGCACAAAGCCAGCATCCTCCTGAATATCTGACCGTGGGGCTGGCTCCCTCCAGACACTTCAAATTATCGACCGCTGCGGCGTAGATGGAAGTCTTTTGCCATCTCTATCCACTTTCATCGTCTCTTCCACCAACAGCGCTTGGTCGCAAGAACAATGGACAGCGCCTGGTACAATGTATCACGTGACCTATTGGCTTGCGAAGTGAAGGCCCTTGATGCTCGACTCAGGCATGAAAGCCAATGAGTCAAGCTAGGTACGGCCTAGTACAGATCTGGGGAATACGGTACAGATTGTTTGTGCTGCAAGACTCGTGTCCCGAGACCAATGTCGTCGGTTCCCGGTTTTCAGCAGATTTGTCCACACCATCCCCAGGCAAGTTTAGACCTCAAACTACCTTTTTCATTTGGAACACGCTAATTCTCGATGGACGTCGTCCTACAATCCAATCTAGCTTTAAAGGAGAATCCCCCGGCGAATCTTTTAGGTGAATCGTATCGCTGGCTCTCACCCTACCCACCTGATGATATCGAAGACCACTTCGCCCCTGCTGCCCCTGGCGAACGCACGCAGGAAAAAAGCCGATTTGGTGCAAGAGGCCACTAGTGAGTAATGGGCCAGCATTGTCTCGAGGTTGATAGGACAGATAGTGTCCAGGGTCTCGGTGTATTAGTCTCGTAGTCCAAGTTTCGCGTGCCTTTCCAAGCGCCATGTGCTGAGAACGTGGGTGACAGTGACATATCATGCACACTTGTAAGATGTTCGTTTACCTTTGCTCCACGGACCCTCAAAATTGGGATGCTTAGCCAGTTTCTGTCACTCTTTATTACTGCGTCTCCTTCCCTTTTCTTCCCTTCGACCGTGAATGATCGACGTCCCTGCATCGGCAGTCGCACCTACTGGGGTATTCTCCTCGCGTGGCTCAATATCATCACTAAACCTGCAATTGGTGGAGGATAGAGAGCTTCTGACAATGGCCGTCGAGAACCAGGGGCCCGCGCTTCTCGCTGTAGGCGCTTGTTTTATGACGGTTGCATGGCTCTGTGTTCTTTTACGAACTTATGTCCGCGTTTATCTCGTCAAGGCATTTGGACTTGACGATTGGCTCATCGTAGCCTCCGTGGTACGTATAAGTCGAGTGTTGCAGCCGAAATGGAGACCCTATGGTCGGTTATCGGCCAAGATGAGAGGACTATTGGTTAACTCCTTTCGATACAGATATTCTACACAATTCACAACATATGGATGTTCCTTGGTATTCACTACGGAACTGGACGGCATCATGCTGACCTCCCGATAGATAGCATCCAGCATGCCATGATGGTAAGAACTACTCTCTTTTCTTTCGAGTTTGAGGTGGCGCACGACTAACCATCCTTTAATCTCACAGTATTGGTATCTTGATTTCATTGGTTATGCATTAACCATGATCACTTCAAAGGCGTCCATTGCCGTCTTCCTCCTCAGAATTACGTCGTCGACCCGCTTACATTCGTGGATCATTTACATCTCCCTCTGTGTCACAACGCTCACGACAACCACCTTCATGTTCGTCTGCATGTTTCAGTGCCTGCCAATACCCTACTTTTGGACTAGGCAAGGTGACGGGAAATGCATCGGGATCAACGTCATTATTACCCTGACGTATACGTTCAGCACGTTCAGCATAATCACCGACTACATCTTCGCCTTCCTCCCAATTGCCATTGTGTGGACTTTGAAGATGAAGAAGCGTGCGAAATGGCTGCTGGTTCCCATCTTCCTGCTAGGAAGCGTGTAAGCTCTCCAGAACACCCCATGTTGCACGAGATAGGAAGGCTGACACTCTCATCAATAGCGCAAGCTCTGCGGTCGCCGTTCGTTTTGCATACGTGGAGACATTCCGAGATGCTGACTATCTTTGTAAGTCCTTTTAGCCCTATGCCAACTGTGAATGAAGCCTGGCTTGCTAACAGAGACTCACCACAGGGGCCACCGCACCTATCGCCGTCTGGTCCAACGTCGAGATGGGCCTCGCCATCACAGCTGCCAGCCTTGCTACCCTGCGTCCCCTCGTCCGTACCATCAGCGCCAGCCTAGGCTTCTCGAGCAGCGGGGGACCTTCAGGACCCTCTGGCGGACCATCTCATGCTCTGAATGGCACCGCCGCGGGCTCCTCTGCCTTCGACCGTTCCCGTACCCGTACTAAGAGGCAGTTGACGAGGAATGAGGAGGACCACGACTCGGACGAATTCATCGATATGACCCATTTCGCTGACCATTCTACCAACGCCTGGGCAGGAGAGGGGAACGCCGCTGCTGATCATATGTCGAAGATAATGATCACGAAGGAGACGGAGGTAACTGTAACATCGCTACCCACTGAATCATCCCCGCCAAACGTCCCGTTCTGGAAGAGGAAAGGATCCGAGAGGGACATGAGCGATAACGAGAGCCAGGAGGTGCTCCGATCGGAGGGGACGGACGACGCGACGAAGGAGCACCGACCAGTGGTGCCGAAGAGCTTTTTGCCAAAGCGAGATGGGAACCAGACCCAAAATTGATGTAATGTAATACGGCATGATGGACTATAACGATGTCCAGTTGAGATTGGGAGATGTGTATAATTTCGCCATATTTATAAATTAGATATGATCATGTTCAATTACTCGACAACTCTTAGTACCAATGTGCTGCTCAAATGTTGACAATCGCCAATGGTTATTTATGTACCCTAAGGTAGATCAAAATGCAACCACATACCTGTAGACAGAAGATCAAGAGTGTACCGCAAGCAAAGTAGTGACTATAAGTTTAAACTTTTTTTATTTGTTCATTCATTCATACATTTTTATATACTCATTAATTTTTGCATCTAACTGTCCAAGTTTCCAATGGTAATGGACTTGATGTTCTGGTACTCGGCCATACCGTACTTGCTTCCCTCGCGACCGAGACCACTCTCCTTGATTCCACCGAAGGGAGTCTCGGCAGCGCTCATCAGACCAGTGTTGACACCCACCATGCCACACTCGAGCTTGCGCGCAACACGCATGACCCGGCCAATATCCTTGCTGAAGAAGTACCCCGCGAGACCGAACTCGGTCGCGTTGGCGAGCTCGACGGCCTCGTTCTCGGAGGCGAAGGAGAAGATGGCGGCGAGGGGGCCGAACGTCTCGTCGGTGGCGACCTGCATCTGGGAGGTGGCGCCGCTGATGACGGTGGGCTCGTAGAAGAAGCCCTTGCTGTCGGCGGGGGGCTTGCCGCCGGCGTGGAGGACGCCGCCCTTGGCGAGGGCGTCGGCGACGTGCTCGGTGACCTTTGTGACGGCGCCGGCGTTGATCAGGGGGCCCTGAGTGGTGCCCTCGTCGATGCCGCGGCCGAGCTTGAGGGCGTTGACGCGGGCGACGAGCTTCTCGACGAAGGCGTCCTTGACCTTCTCATGGACCAGGAGACGGTTGGCGCACTATGGGATAACTTGTAAGCCGGTGTGATTCTTAAGAACAAGGGAGGAGTTTACATACCACGCAGGTCTGGCCGGAGCCGCGGAACTTGCAGATCATGGCCCCGTCAACGGCCTTGTCGAGGTCGGCATCCTCGAAGACGATGAAGGGGGCGTTTCCACCGAGCTCCATGCTCACGCGCTTCATGGTGCCGGCAGCAGCCTGGGTGAGGATCTTGCCGACACCGGTGGAGCCAGTGAAGCTCAACTTCTTGACGTCGGGGCTGGTGGCGAGCTCCATGGAGGCCTGGCGGTTCTTGGTCGGCACGACGTGGAAGCAGTTGGCGGGGATGCCGGCCTCGAGGGCCAGCTTGGCGAGGGTGAGGGCTGTGAAGGGGGTCTCGCTGGGGGGCTTGATGACGACGGAGCAGCCGGCGGCGATGGCGGGGGCGACCTTGCGGGTGATCATGGCGGCGGGGAAGTTCCAGGGAGTGATGATGCCGCAGACACCGACAGGCTCCTTGAGGGTGATGACCATGGAGTTTTGATAGGAGGAGGGGATGACATCGCCGTATGATCGGGTAGCCTCCTCGGCGAACCAGGAGATGAAGCCAGCAGCGTACTTGACCTCACCCTCGGCCTCGGCGCGAGTCTTTCCGTTCTCGAGGGAGAGAATAGTTGCGACTAGATAGCAGATTAGTATGAGGCTTGGCTTATTGCTTCCGGGGGCTGCTTCACGTACTGTCTGCGGAGTTGGCGATGATCAGGTCGTACCATTTTCGCAGGAGAGCGCCTCTCTCCTTGGCGGTTGTGTTCTCGTGGAATTCCTTGGTTCCGATCTTGGCGCTGGCAATGGCATCGACGAAGTCCTGCTTGTCGAGGTCGGCGCATTCGAGGAGAGTGGTGTTGGTGGAAGGTTCGGAGACGTTGAAGGTCTTGCCGTTGGCGCCTGTCCTCCACTCGCCGTTGACGAGACCGGATGAGACGATCAAGGACTGGTCCTTGACCTGTGATGAGAGGATGGATGTGGACATGATGTGTGAGTGTACTGTGAAATGGAGGAACAAACGAAACAATCAACTTTTATTTTGCTCTGGGGAAGACTACAGTATTAAGCTTCGGAGCTCCAAGCTCTCTGCGAAACCGGGCGAGCTCATGTTAAATATCACCCGCGAGCACGCGCACAAGGTAGTGTGCCACGAGCAACGAGGGACCGGCCGGACCGCATGAACGTTGGGGTAGTTATTAGTCAGTGAGCTTCTCACCAACCTCAACCCAACCAGAGAGCTGTCTAGAAAACGCCAAACGGGTAGTTTTGAGCCGGCTCGTCCCGGCGTCTGTCCATCTTTCGCCTGGCCACTCGCTGGCGTGGGCAGGCTGTCGAAAGAATCATCCATAGGTTGATACTCGAAGCCTCTCCAACGACCCCGCCCCCTCTTTTGGTGGGCTTGTGATGGCTTGCGAGGGTCATTCTACATGCAGATCTCCGGCATAATCTCCACACGATCTGGAACCTACGACCGAGCCATGACACAAGCTGCAACATGGCTGACCCCTCCCTCCATTTTCCTCGCCGGACACACCCAGCCCCGGCCAGTATTTCCTTTGGAACGCTCCCTAATTTCACATTTCCAGCCGTTTCTTTTTCCCCTCTTCATGGTGTCACATCAGGGCCGCCTTCGGAATTCGTTTTACGAGAGAGGCAACGGCGTGCGTGGGTCTGGTTTGTCCCGGTCATCCCGGTTTTCCCGGCCCGGCTTGATTCGCAAGTCGGAAATTCCTCACTAGATCTCCGGCCCGGTAATTCACGAACCATCGAGAGCACCTATTCGGAATTACATGCCATTGGTACCTGCCGGTCGGCGTGGTAGACTGGTGCCTTTTGCCTCCCTCCGATATAGGAAAAGCTACGCGTGGGAGGTGGCAGGTGATTGACCGAATTGGGCGGCGAAGCGAGGCACTGCGGATTACTACCACCAAACCATCTTCGACGTTTAATAAAATAAACTAAATGACAAATCCAAACCCTAGGGGAGGTTTCCAGTTCACTTTCTCCACTCACAATTGGGAACGATTGTGGCTGACTTAACCAGGGTCTCTTGCCTGGAAAAACTGGCGAGTAGACTGAGATCGTTTCTACTTTGCTCGTTTGCTCTACTATTGAAGCCAATAGCCAAATAGCTTGCAGAGAAACAAACTATGGCATGTTCACCCATAATCGCCACCCTCGTTCGTTCTTACAGGAGATGTTGCTCTACTTCCGCAAATGTTTTTAGCTTTTACGAATGCCGTCTTGATCGCATCCCAATCATTGTCGCTGAAGTGCTAGGACAACATGAAGTTTTGTGAAGATACCCCCAACCATACTGGTTGATGCTTACCACACCTTGAACAAGCTGGAACTCAATTACTTGGAACCCAACACGGGTTATCTAAATACTTGAGTGTTCGCGTTTCCCCCCCATGAAGTTGTCAGCATGGTTGTGTGAAGCTGCAAGTTGCGACGTTAGACGAGTGTCTAAAGATACTGTTACCGATGGAATTGAGCGACCCGATTCATTCGCGCGATGAACGTATGGCTGGAGCGTAAAAATCATTGGTCGCAGCAACATCGGTCTGCCGCACATACAGACCGAAACAAGGGATTGGAAGAGCATAGCTATCGGGTGCCCTGAGTAGGAGTCAAGTGGGTGACATAGGAAATGGCACACCTAAGCACTCCCTTTGCACATACTTGATCTATTATCTCCCATAGTTTAGTGGGAGATGACTGAAAGATATAAATGGAAAAGAACACTAGCCTAAGTATTAATATTCTCCAAACTTTGTTTAGAATTATCTACTTATTTAAATGTTTTGGAATTTATTTGGGTGTTTATTTGGGTGTTTATTTGGGTGTTTATTTGGGTGTTTATTTGGGTGTTTATTTGGGTGTTTATTTGGGTGTTTATTTGGGTGTTTATTTGGGTGTTTATTTGGGTGTTTATTTGGGTGTTTATTTGGGTGTTTATTTGGGTGTTTATTTAGGTGGTTATTTGGGTCTTCAATTGAATGGTCATTTGGGTGTGCCATTTCCTGTGTCACCCACTTGAGAGTATCCATCCGCCCTTGAGCATAGACCTGTGACATAGCCAGTAACAGGAGCCAAACCGACAGGTTAAGATGAGTGAACTAGCCGGGAAATAAATCCACAGTCTGTGCGCTGTGCAGATGGCCACATACAGAGTAGTATTGCCTCACCGAGCTCTGGTCATGCAGGCTGCCTTCCATTGGATCGGAAACGAAAAGAAGCCAGTGACTTGCCGTATCGGTCAGGGCCCCGGCCAAGAAACTGCGAAGTGACTGCCTGAAACCAATCCCCAGAATACGGACTGTCTGCAGATTTTCGCAAGGTCAGCCGCTTTGTTCGACACATCCTTGTTGCTCACCAGGATCTATCTATGGTCCCAGCCTCCCTGGCTAATGCAGGCTCAGAAGGGCATGATGGAATAAGAAAACAAGGGCAATCAGGCCAATTATTCCTCTCTATACTACATATGTAAACTATCAACCAGGGTCGCACTTTGCTCTCCTTCAACGTTTAGCCATGTCGAGGACGCCTTCACCAGACGCTTTGGTGGCAACACGACTGGCTCTCAAGGCTAATTGCAAGCCCCGCTGAAGGAATTGATACCCAAAAGAGAAGACGATTTGCTTGACACCTGCAATCGAGATCTCTACTCAGGGGAAACAAGACGCGTAATTCTGAAAAGAGGGTCTTCTGTAGCCATGCCGAGCAGACCTCAAACCAGAAATGGGAGGAGGAGAATATATCCGACTGAGAAGGGATATAACCGAAAGAAAAAGCTCTTAACAAGTGCTGGGGGGTAATAGGTTGATGAACGAAAGCATGGGGAGAAATCGAGCATCACGCGACACTCCTCCTCATCAATAATTGATCCTCGCCCGTTCTTTGGCTAACAAGCTCAGAGGCCACAGTTACCTGGTAAGTAGATCCCGTCTCAGGAGTGCGTCTCTTGCCACCTTCAGGCCTCCCGGAGGATTCGAGCGTAAAGGCGGGTAGAACTCTATTGTAACGGCAGATCCCTCGGGGAGGGTTTGGCCAATTCCCGGGCCGTGCATTAGCCTCATCCTTCGGCCCTACTCTTCTTGTCGAAGTTTTGACTCGGAAACGGCGTACACGGAATTGAGAGGCACAGTGGATTTCCGAGTCCTCTCTAGACATGATAATCATAGTCTCTCACTCAAGTCACTCGAAGGTGATCATGAACGCCATCCGGTGCAGGACAGTCCCAATCAATATCGACATACTTGCTAGGAGGCTCCAAGTCCCACCCACCAGAGTGTTACAAAAATATTGTGGGAGCCGATTCTCCGAGGGAGTGGGTGAAGCTATTGACCAGGTTTGGATTCCTACATGATACAACTGTCAAACCATTTCTGGCTGTTCGCTGCGCCGGGCGGCCAAAGTGAACGACGAATGGCGTGTTACGAGACAGGTCATATTATTCTCTAAGAAAGAGTTTTCTCACAGTCTACCTAATCTAAGATGAATCTGCCAAAAATAATTCCTGCGAAGCCCGCTTTAATATGCATATCCCTCCAGAAACAGTCATTACGCTGCAAGGACCAAAGGATGGAGCTCCTCTCCCAAAAGCAATATGCAGCATGCAACTCCAGCCTTCTGGTTGGTTGCGAGGCAAGACAGCTTCGGAGAAAGCCGCATCAGGGCTTTTCTCGCTCTGCCCTGCCATCTCCTCGGGGTGTGGTCTCTCAAGACGATCTGGTGACATTGATAGTGGCACGCCCATCAACTGCATGAAAGAGGATTCCCTAGTGGAAAGGCATAAGACTCGCTGCATTGGCCCGCTATTCGGCAGATGAAAATACATGTGATGTGACAACAAGAGAACTCCTGTATAATGGGTTGCATTGAGCTGGGGTAGCATTCGATGATCTCTGCGCAGCCCTGGGTCGCAGGTACGGCAGAATATTTACGAGGACCCTGGCCCTCCCATCAATCAGGGACGGCGAGAAATGGCCTTTTCCGCTCTCGATGGCCTCATCCCCGAATTCGATGTTCGTTCAACCTTCTTCCACACGATAGAGAAGTTCAGTATCAGACTTCACCATGGCTGATACAGACCTACCACTTGTTCACCCGCCGATGCGCCCCGATGTCATCGGCTACTTGGCATGCAACTCCGTCCTCGGTTTCATATCTCTGGTCATTCTGGCATTGCGGGTTTGGGGACGCTTTATAGGAATTGGATTGGGTCCCGACGATTGGCTTATTCTTGCAGCAGAGGTGAGTTGCTCACTTGCTTCTCATATCTCACCAACTTCTCTCCATTCTGACCTTTTGACTTATTAGCCTCTCGCGCTCTGTGGTGTCATCTTCCAGGGAATACGTAAGAGCTCCTCATGGGAACACTGAGAATTTTCGAACATAAAACGCTGACCTAGCCAACAGACTCTACTCTCGGTATTGGTTATGACATGCCAACACACCCCGAACGTGAGCCTCCCCTAAACTACCTCAACCTTCCCTTTATTTCCAGTACCGGCGCAGTTGCTCCAATCTACAGAGTCTAATACAGCTAGCAGTCGGCGCCAACATTACCTACATGCTCAAAATCATATTCGTCCAACAGATAGTCTACCTTTTTGCCCTGGGAGCGATCAAACTCAGCATCCTCTTCTTCTACCTTCGAATATTTGGCTCGGCTGGGCGCACTCGGCTTCTGATCATAGCCACAATGGCGCTATCCGCAGTCTGGATGGTGTCCTTCATCTTCGCAGCCTCGTTCTTATGCAAGCCGGTCAAGAAGCAATGGATGCCGCTCACTCCGGGAGAATGCGGGGATCAACTGATTATGGATGAGAGCATGGTCATCACTAACATTATAACGGATGTTATCATTATTGCGTTGCCCATGTACACCATCTGGAACCTTAAGCTGCGTGTAGCTGAACGACTGGGTCTCATGATGGCATTTTCGCTAGGTCTCGCGTGAGTATTCACTTATCTTTCAAAGACAAGACTCAGCGTGGACTAATATTAATACTGCAATAGCGTTGTCGTAGCAGGCATCTTCCGCATCGTCTACATCAAGGGAGCCGATCTCACCCACAACCTCACGGGAACACTAGCAATCTCTATCTTCATCTCCCAGATCGAACCCCTCCTCGGCATCATCTGCGTCAGCATCCCCATGCTGGCGCCCATCTACAAGCGATACCGACACCCCAATTCGTCAGCGAGATATTACTACGAGCAGCAGCATCCCAACTCTGGAGGGCCCTCGGCCCGACAGGTTGGTGTGTCGGCAGGCGGGAGCAGAAACACACGCCACTGGGAAATGAACAACATGAAAGTCGAGACGGCAGCAACGAGGAACGACGATGAAGCCAAAAGTCTGGACGGCGCGGGCTCGGATAAAAACCTAACGACGGCGGCAGCGCCACATGGCATCAGGGTAGAGACACGCTACTCTGTGTCGAGGGCCTGAGAGTGTGTTTCTGTTCCAGAGAAAAATATAGAAGTAATGAAATCAGTATAAAGTTATCAATGAGTCGCATATATCTCTGCCAGCTCATGTCGCTCATCGAACGACGTCCCACCAAATGCATGTTACCACAATTCAAACCTACTAGCAGCTATCCCCGAGTATGAGAAGAATTCATAGACGAGGCATTCTCTTGGTATGGAGATTGACAATCGGAGACACCTAATTCATCCATTCGATATACGCAGTGTACAGTGACGTGCATAGTTACCAATAGATCCATTCTCTGAGGCTTGTATGTATGTATTAACGAGTCTGCATAGAGAACAGACCCAGCCGAGGCCCACTGTTTGCTCTCGAACAACGAGTTAAGGACGTTACATCAAACATTGGTACTTTCTCTAGATGATTTTCATTTTCATTTCTCTGTTCGTTGGTTAAAGTGGTCTGCCAAGGTGCCTCCATACTCCATAATATCCAAGACAGGGGCTAAATCCTAACAATGGGTATACATGTTTGCAGGAATTGTCCGGGCTCCGTGGATTCCCCAAGGCACAGTAGACGACTGAGAGCTACCTTCCATTTAAGGAACCAACTACGTATACCCTCCCTCTTGATATACAGAATCTGCACCTACGTCCGACGGTGGTGCCGTGACATTCAGCCTGCATGAGCGGGCACTGGACCTCGGACGGCTCTTACTGAGCTTACGCCTTGGCTGGTGGACACGGGGGCAAAAGACGCGAGCAACCAAAATCCCATTGATTAGTAGATCGTGGAGTAATAAGTTGGTCTAAGTCCCCCTGTATGAGAGTGGTTGCACATAGGTTGTTGTATATTCAAACGGTTCCCCCATTTAGATTCTCCATTGTGTCACCCTCTGCACCAGCATCAGCGAATAATCGTGCAAGTATTTCGAAAAAATCATGGCGACGCCTTCACTTAACCCACAGGCCCTTTTTGCGGTCAATGGTCTTGTTGCGGTGGTTACCGGAGGTCACAATGGTGCGTCCTCATTCTTGTCCACCCGGTCCCTCGATTCAGGAAGTAGGCGATCTGAATACGCTAAAGGAGGTATGCAGGCGTTGGCCTTATGATCACCAAGGCATTGGAAGAGAACGGAGCTACAGTATTTATCATCGGCCGCCGTAAGGAGAAACTGGAAGAGGCAGCTAAGGCAGAAGCCGTATGCTATTCCCCTTTCTCAAATCATAACTCCTCCCCTGGTGGAATATGTCGCTGAGAAAGGAATGATTCTTTAGAAACATGGAAAAATCATACCTATCCAAGGAGACATCACCTCCAAAACTGATCTCACCCGCATTGTCTCCACCATCAAGGAGCATCCCCTCAGTGGCGGTTATGTGAATCTCGTCGTCGCCAATGCCGGCGCCATGGGCCCGGAGCCTCCTGCCAGCCTCGACGCAAACCAGCCTGCCTCTAACCGTGCTTCACTCAAGGACGCGTATGAGCTGCTGTGGGCGCCCGAGGTGGCGGACTTCAACAGCGTCCTCGAGACCAACGTCGCCGGATCATACTTCACTGCTGTTGCTTTCCTGCCTCTTCTGGATGCAGGAAACAACGCTGGGAATGTATCACAGTCGAGTCAAATCATCATCATGGGTAGTGCTTCGGCCTACTCTCGCCTGGCATCCAGCAAGTTTGCGTACGGTGCGAGCAAAGCTGGCACCAACGACTTGGTCAAGAGACTGTCGACGACACTGGCTATATACCGTATCCGAGTGAACTCTATTGTTCCAGGAAGTGAGTTTTTCTCCTTCCCTATTCCACCCTTTGATTGAAGGTTTATAATTGACCCGCGCAGTCTTCCCCTCTGACATGACTGAGCATGTCATCCAATTTCTAAATTCCAACCCGGAAGCAGCAAAGGCAATTTTGCCAGTCGGGCGACCAGGAAACATCCAGGACATGGCTGGTCTTACGCTTTGGCTCTCATCCAACGCCGGAGGATATGTTACTGGCAGCATCGTCTTGTCCGATGGAGGCGTGTTGAGCGTAACGCCTGCCTCATACTAATGTACCGAGGAGATTTCCTAGAGAGAAGGTTTCTGAAGAAACTACAAGAATAGAATCTCTTGCATCTGTTATCCGACACTTCATCCAAATTCTGGTCTTATGGGTACCGCTTGTGAGTTTTATGGGTGAGAAGACCACCGTCGTTGACTTCTTATTATGGCGAAAGCATCGCATCACACCGAGCTACTGCTCGATTCTTTGATAGAGATCAGATTTCAGGCATCAACTCCTTTCAAAGCCAAACGAAATACGATGTGCATCACAGATAAATCCGCCCACTCAAGACACTAACGGAATTCCTAAGTGTACGAGACCCATGCGAAGGGGTGGCCAGCCTGGCTCTTTGTACGGGATCATTATTTCATACTTAACAATCAATGAAAACAAAGATAAAAACGAAGGACCTTCGGAGGCCTGGAAGCCAGGATGCCAAATAAGTAAAGCGAAAAGTTCAAGATTGATGAGCTGGTCAGCAAACATCGAAACTGATGAAACTGCATGCCAACCGCCAGTGATGGGATGAGATATCTGGCCATAATGTACTTAAACGAACACGAGAAATGCTACGCATGCTCCTGATGTTACATGGAAAATAGTCAACTCGGTGGTGATTACTAGGACATTGGGCAGGCCCAATACCTAATCTCGCCATGTGAACGATGCTTTGCGTTTTACTTACCTGGCTCTAGATCACAAGTATCCAGGCCGCGACTCCCCTCTCCTTACAACTGCAAGTGGATTAAGAACCAAGCATGTCCTACGTGGGACAAGATCAATATTTATTTGCCACAACTCAACAAGAAACGGCGAACTTGAATACAGCCAAGATAAACGAAGAAATCACCCAGGAGGATAGATATGTTGATGGAAGAAGTAAAGAGAATCTTCTTTTCAAGATTCTTTGTTAAGATAATGTACTATATAAGTAGTACCAAGCTCGGGACGATGTTCGACATCACGACACCATACTGCCAAGATACACCCCCAGCTTTACCTCAAAACAGGCATGCCAAAGACTCCCATGGGCCAACCCAATGCCCAGACCGGTCGGGGACGAATGCCGTGAGACAGGCAAATATACACAAGTGTCGAGGCAGGTAGCCTCTATCCCAAAGCACAAGAATTTCCAAAATAAAAACCGCTTGCCGAATCCTAGTATAACAAAAAATAAGGATGGCACGTCTCGCCAATCCCAAAGAAATGATAAAAACGCCGTTCATGATACTCTACAACGTGATCCGTGAGACCTTTCTATAAATGTGCGGTAAAACTTCCCTTGTCCAGAAGTGAAATGATATTATGCTGAGAACCGTGAAGCAAGCGCCAGGCCAGCTATTAAGACATTTTTACTTCTCGGACTGCCTTGATAAATTGCTCGGTTGCCAGAGCCTGCGTAGCTGCAGTAGCACCATCCTCTCCAGCAAGAGGTTGAGACAAAAGCGAAAAGAAATCACTCTTGGTCTTGCATCCGTGGAGCTTGGTCTCCTTCGTGAGCAGAAACGCGACAGCGGCTCGAATAAGGGTCGTATCGCCTTCAAAGACATAGATATCAAATAGCCGTGAAGCTTCGTCGATTACAAGCTGGCCGGTGAAGAGACTGGTGAAAATCGGGTACAGATACATTTCTGGTTGGAGATCTGGAATTCCCTTGAGATGGTCGTAAAGAGGAATTGACTTGGCGGCGAGAGTTTGAATAACAAAATTGTACGCCGATGCTTGGGCTCCTGCATCCGACGTATAGAATGAGAGCGGAAGAGAGCGGTTGAGGAGGTTGGCCAAAGCCACGAAGGTGGACGCAGGGGTAGGGAGGTTGAGGAGAAGGAGAGCCGCGATGGTCTGCGAGGGAATGTTAGAATACAGCCAGTCAAACAGCTAGGGGTTTAATCTGTGCGATCTACTTACGTTGCACCCAGAGATATACCCAATATCATTTCGGTACATAGCGTATGCCATCAAGACATCCACCAAGTTGTCGTGCAATGGGCCACCAACATTGAAAACGTGCAAATCCTTCCAGGTTTTGTTTGTCACATCTTGGCGAATCTCGTGGAACCACTGGACACTTTTGGCATCCTCAGCCGTCCCCTTTTGATCTTTCACTCTCTGCTCCAGCTCATGAGCCCTCGTCAGCGCCATGTCGAAGGAGGATTCGGACAACCCAAGTGGATTGCCAATCGCCCGGGACCAAACCGCACCGCGGCTTCTAGGAGGGACACCACGCCACCACATCTCTCGTGTCTTCCTCTCACGGATGGCATCGTCCCAGCGAGCCAGAATATCTTGCTCCCACACTCGCATAGACCCATCAACTACCACATCCTTGGACTGTTCCTTGGATCTGCGGGCGGCTTCTCGCCGCTCGTCGGCTTTGGCGCTTGCCGCCATCATCTTCTGATACTCTCGTAGGTGACGCTTCTCTTCGGCGGGGTCCTTGGGGGGCAGCCATGAAGGTCGTGTTCGGCTGAGAACGGCCTCTTTCTCTCTAGAAACGGGCAGTGGATCAATCATGACATTGGTTCGTCGCAAAGGGGGAAGTTCTGGCGTCGACTTGACCCTCGACTTCTTTTCATAGGAATATTCCGAGGATGACCGGCCGGGATTCCAGGTGTTGGGGCGATTGGATCCCAGAGACTGTCGCGTTCGCTGTTGCTCTATCTCATCGGCGTGTGCCTCCAGCTTTTCGGTGAGCTTCTTCGCTTCAGCGCTCAATTCAGCGAAGCCTGCATTCCATGACAACGTCCGCTTCAAAGGCATGCCAACTGGCGACCTCTCGCGTGACACGGACTCCTCGTTTTTCCATGCAGGGGAGCGAAGAGACCCTTGAGCCTGAGCCACAGGGGGAGTACCATTGCCAACACTCTTGATACGTTCCTTATGAGATCGGTCCATAGAAGGCGCGGGCGATGGCTGTCGGCTGGGAGGGCGTTCATGTTGGGGTCGTGGTGAGATGGGAACGTTGTCGAGAAACATGCCTTCAGGAATGTCGTCGCCGTCATCCTCGTCACATTCATGCTCAAGCTCGGCGAACGATTTCCGATGTCGAAGTGCGGGCTGCCAGCTTCCACGGCGAGGCTTGGGATGGATGCGAGGTCCCTTGGGGTTCAAAGCCACATTGCTGGGGCTCAAGCTCCTGTTTCGGGGAGAAGACGATTGATTCGAACGGCTGGACGATCGCTTAGAGGGTGGTGCGGGACGGCCAGGATCGGCCAGAACATTGAGGCTTGTGCTCCTCGGATTCTGGAAGTTTGTTTGCAGATTCGGGAAGGATGAACGAGGCTTGGGGGAGAGATGGCTGTTGGTAGCCAGGATTCGGCCAGAGGGGGCAGGAGCTCCAGTGGGTGATGGCGCGACACCGTAGATGCCCAATTGAGAGAGGTTTTTGAGGGTGTCATTGTCGTCTTCGAGACCAATGTCCTCGAAATGGCCTACATCGTTGAGGACACTGCCATCGTCATGGAGAGAGGAGTGGAAGGAGGAGGTCTTGGAGCTTTTGGAGGTGGTCATTCCGGGAGGGGAATTTGGGGACGAGTCGGTATCACTGTCAATGTCGTAAATCATGACTGCATCGGAAGCCAAGGAGCTCCAGTCTCTCTCGGCGATTGGCGGGAACGGTGTTGAGGAGACGGGCTGTTGGGAATGAGCCACGAACAAACGATCGAAGAAACAAACAAACAAGGGACTTCCAGTCGAGTCGAGTTAAGTCAAGCCAGGACTTTGAGACAAGGCGGTGGGTGTGGTTTGAGGCAGTGAGCAGGTGGGAGTGGGGCGCGTCAAGCCAGGCACAGACAGGCTCAGGAACAGGAACAGGAGGAAGAAGCCGCCACACCAACAGGGCGCTTACTGTGCCAAAGTAAACAAGCAAGGGGGGACGACGTATAAAGAAGGGCTAAAAAGGGTTAAAAAGGGCGGTAGATAACGAGTTGTCGAGCGAATGGTATGGCGTACAGCACCAAGAACGGGAACAGCAGCGAATGGGGGCCACGGCCAGCGATGAACGAATGAAGAAGACTGGTTGAGTTGGCTCTCAAGTCGAGTGAGAGGCAGAAAGAGGAAGAGAAGGGGAAGAAGGATGATCGTCCATGAGGTGGTGGGAGCGGAGTCTACCTATGTTCAAATTGCGGTGCTGTACCGAGAATTGCGCTGTGCTGCGCTGTGCTGATGAAGGGGTGTGGAGGAAAAGGAAAACCCATGGACCATGATTGAGGCTTCCATCCACTCATCCACCCATCCAACAGCACCAACTAACCCGTTATGCACAGTACCTGACCTGGCCGGGCAGGGATAGAAGCCTCGAGGGGCCTGAGTACCTGAGCGAGCCAGCGAGGTAGCACCTAAACCTGCTGGTCTTTAGCGCATGCTCGATTGATGAACAGGAAGGAGAGCAAGCAAACAAGCTGCTGGTCGGAGCTAGCCAGAGCGGGAGGCAGGCAGATTGTTAGCTACAGCCTCTTCCATTGGCCGGTCGCAGGGGCCGGCTACCGGGGGGGGCACCAATGGGAAGCGAGATTAGCGGCCCATCATCTCCATCCTCTCTGATTCTCGCACCATGAATTGACGGAGAAGGATTTTCCCTTCTACTATTGTTGTACCTGCGTGCTATTGTAGGTGCGTCCTGCTGCCGGCACAGGCCTGTAATTAGGTTTTTTAATTTTGGCACCAACAGCTCCTCCCTCGCCCGGCCGGCTGCTTCGAGTTCTCCCTGTGAGCGGAGCAAGGCCGCTTAGCTGCCCTCCTGGCAATATCAACAATAATGGCCAGCTAACATGCCCGTGCCTGAGTTACGATCGATGCCAGGTACAACGATACGCGCCTGTAGGTGTCGCCGTGACTTGTGCCCTGCCAAATTACCCCCCAGCCCGAACCGCCCTCCTGCAGCGGAATTTGATTAGCATGGCATGGTCCGTGCAGATGGTGCCGGGTACCTGCCACCAGGTAGGCTTAGGCTACTGCCGTGGCATGCAGGTACGTGTGCATCTTGTCACCACACCACGGCCGCGATGACATGTGCTCTGCTGCCCATCGAGATGAGCACGCGAGGCCGACTTATCTCTTGTTTGTTCTCAACGTTGCAACGGGGTGGGCAGGCAATTTGATCTCTATCTCGGTCTCGGGTTCTCATCTCGCTGGAACCTGTCTAGCAGCCAATAAACCTCAGCATGGTGAGGAACCAAAGCAGATAGGCGTTTTCCTTATCTGAATCCAAGCCCGTTGGCACAAAATAGGAGTCGCCTTACAGAGGTACCTCTGTTGGCTGGCAGCAGTGTTCTTCTCTCTGGTTTCGATGACGCCTGTGTCTTGAATCTTGCTGATCTATAATCTTTTCAGTAACTCAGCAAATAATAATAAAAAGCGCTCTTCCATCTCGTAGGCCACGATGAAAAGCAGATCTGCGGCAATGGCACAGCATGGTGACGGGACGGCGTCGTCTAGCGTCCACGTCTTTTGCATGCACGCACCTCCTCTTCGGGATGGCCGCCCCAATCGCGTAATCGGTCAGATCATGACGCTCCATCCAACACCACCAAAGGAAAAAGGAAATGAAGCATAAGATTCCCCACACTACCCCGTTGCTGCTCCTCCTTCGGAGATGGAGGGCATGGGCCTGGCACACACACCTGTACAGAAGACAAAGAACGGCTGGCTGCCACACCATGCGCATATCGCTCGAGCGAATCACGTCCTGCTCCTGCACCAGGCAGTGATTGCAACATTCATTCAATTAATCCGGGCATGTCTGTCTCTGTTCTACTAAACCAACAGCACAATATCAAGTCCAACCCCCTTCGACACATCCTTAAGCCTTTTTTGTAAACTACCAGCAATACATTCAAAGCGGCCATGCCATGGCCTATCCATCAAGACCAAAGACTTCTCGAGTCTTATGGGCCAAATTTAGAAACGCGTCCACCGAAAACCTGATCTCACCATCAAAGCACTGACCTCGTAATACATCTCCATGCGTAGAGCTACCCTAGTCCGCCTTCTCGCGCAGCATCTTCTTGAGTTTGCGAACTTCGGTCCAAGAGAACAGCGATGTGATTCCCTTTGTCTTGCTCGCAACCGGTGACCGCTTGTTCTTCTTGTCCAGTTTCTTCCATCCTGTTAAATGAAAGTACGCAAGAGCCTCAGCCGATTCTCTGCGGCGGCGTTGTCGGAACGTCTCCACTCCATTGACTGGCTTCTCCTCCTCTCGTAGGCTGTTTCGCACAATGCGAGAAACGACACTCTCCAGCTTGCGCTTCTTGGGCGGATTATCATTCTCTGAAACAGGTGAGCTCGAGTGCATTTCTTCCCATGACCTCTTCTTCCCAGTGTGGGCCTCTACAACCGGTGTCTGCGTGGTTCTCAAAGCCTCCTTTCGGGCACGGAACCTAGCCATGAGATTCTTTTCAAAACTCTCATCATCGCTTGTCATGGTTTGGGTGAGGTCGATGCAGTCAGTATGCTTGATAGCCGCCGGAGTGCCCTTGGCTGTAGGTTTATGAGTTTGTACCGGCATTGGTTTAGCAGCTTGCTGCTGCTTCGTGGAACCGCTTGTCTTGTCCGTAGCCAACGAAGGCGACATGGTGCGGCATCGTCTAGCTCTCTCCTGGAATGTATCCTTTCCGTCGGGCTTGGATGCCGATGCACGGGCACTGCGTGAAGACGGTGTAGCCACCTGGCTGCTCTTCGTGGGCGTTGAAACACTGCGCTGAGCAGTCATGGACACCTTGGCGCTTGGTGGTTGGCTTTGCGATCGGTTTCTAGAAGGGGGTGTTTTGCGGATGGCCTGGAACTCGACATCCGAATCATCGACGGTGCCAGATGATGCCGGGGCTTTGATCGCGGCTGCGATACTCTGCTTTGACGGCGTGGTGGCCTTCGAAGCGCTCTTTCTCTTGGGAGTGTCATATATAGCCTGAAGCTCCAGGTCCGAGTCAGAGTCATCTCCAGATGATAACTGAACTACCTCAGCAGGGTCGGGGATGTAGCGGTCGTTCTTCTTTTTCTTCTTCGCCGACGAGGGTGTGGGGACTTTTTCTTTCTTCACACTTTCTTTCTTGATACACTCAGACTTTGACTTCTTTCCAGATGAAGGCTTGTTTCCAGCTTGGCTCTTGGGTGTCGTAGGGATCACGGGGCCAAACACGTCCTGGTTCTTGGCAATAAATGGGGATGTTACTTCTTTCCTCAGGAGTTGCATGCCAGACAGAAATTTAGGATTGGTCCTGGGATCTGCGGTGGGCGTCACCTCGACACTCTCATCGTTCGAGTCCAAGGTCATCTCCACATACTCTTCCCGACGCCGGGAAGAGCTGGGGATCTGAACCTCCAGCCGAGTTGGAGAAACCGTCTTGGTCGGCTGCTTCTGGGGAGTGTAGGCACGCTGCTTCTGCGGCGTGGAGGCGGGCGCCTTCTGAGGCGTAGGCACTGTTCGCATTTGGGGTGCTGGAGCATTCTGAACAGGACTCTCAGGACTCAGCTCTCTCTGTGATGAAGGCAAAACCTTGGACGCGCTTTGCTTCTGGGGCGTAGGGACGACTGAGCTTGAAGGGGTGATGTCAACATCGGCCTTCTTGCTCTTGTCCTTCTTCTTCTTGTCCTTGGTTTTTCCATCCTTGGGCTCCTTGGTTTTGCCATCCTTGGACTCCTTGCTTTTTCCTTCTTTGGGCTCTTTGCTTTTTCCGTCTTTGTGCTTCTTGCTTTTTTCTTCCTTGGACTTTTTGTGCTTCTCCGTGCGCGATGACTTCTTCTTTTTCGACGCAGACCCGAGGCTTTCGCCATCATCGCTCGGTGCCTGGTGAGTTTGCGACGGTGACATTTTGGAATCTGAGAAGATGGCGTTGATAAGGAAGCACTGGGCTGGTCCGGGCTGGTGCGATGTAGAAGTTTTGATCGAGTTTGATCTTCGAATCCAAAGCTTGTGAGAGGTTGTGATGAAAAAGAGAGTGTGGGAAAGAAAGAAAATGTTGGAGGAGAGGTAGACAGTGAGAAGAAAGTGGTGGCATGAGGGTGTGCTCAAGGTGAGAACGTGGTGAGGTGAGTGCTGGTAGTGGCTTCCCTGCTTCTCACTTTCATCTCGCCGTGGGGTTATTCATGCAGGTTTTAAATGAATAATGAATAGTAAAACCCAGAGGAGACTTTGCATTGTGATACTTAAAAATACCTATCATAAATGACAATATTTCTTGGCAAGAGATTCGATTGTACGACACAAAAGATGTTTGGTTGGCGCATCACCCATGTATTATGCTGTCAAACGAACGTTCTTCATTGCGTGGTTGAAGTAAATCAATAAAATTCAATGGAAACTGAAGTTGATTTTGTTCAACAAAGCCGTAGGCCATGCTGCGCATGTTTCGGGGCTCAAGTCTCCTCATTATTTCACGGATCATAGGTATTATAACAGATCACGAGGGAAAGTCATTAACGAGAATTCATCTATCTATGAGTGTATGTCCATTCACAAGTGTGATGCATTGTTCTATGGGATATTACTATATCGGTTGCTTTCGTTCATAACATCCATTAAACCTAAATATTGAACTTTTGTTTACATACGCTCACGTCTGCGAGGAGCTGCCCGAATAATGTCGTCTACTCGAAGAAGTAGCTGTATCCAATGTTAGCAGATGAAATGGGATAACTAGAACATGGCGATTGTAGGACTGTAGATCTTACCTCAGCTGCTTCACTGGCTGAAGACACGACAGCCTTCTTCAGCTTGTAGCTCTCAACCACACCAAGATCGCGCATATCGGCAATGCCGCCACCAGGGGTTGTCAGGTCAAGGCCATAGGATGTCAGACCCTCGTAGATCGCCTTGCGCAGGCGAGCAACAAGGTCTCCTGAATCCAAACCAGCGTTATCAGCCAGAATAGTTGGCAGCTGTCGTAGCGCATTGGCGAAGGCGGACACGGCAAGTTGACGCTTGCCCTCAACGCGAGTAGCAGCGCCCTCGACGGCCTTGGCCATGAGCATTTCGGCGCATCCACCACCCAGGGTCGTCCGGGGCTCGCGAACAGTTTGTGAGAGAACGGCAAGGGCATCGTGCAAGCTGCGCTCGGCTTCGTCAAGCAACTGGTCTGTGGCGCCTCGGAGAACAATAGTGCAAGCCTCGCCGGCGGCAACGCCAGAAAACTTAATTAGGGTATCCTCTCCAATTATAACCTCCTCGATCGTATCGCAGTGGCCGAGCCTGACCTGGTCGGGGTGGTCAAAGGTGGAAGCAATCTCACCGCCGGTTACAAGTGCCAGACGCTCGATTCCGTCAAAGTCGGCATGCTCAATGGACATGATGCCGGCATCAGTGAAGAGCTGCTCGGGCCAGTTGTAGATGAGTTGACGGTTGATGAAACAGTTGATACCGTGTGCCTTGATCTTCTCAACCTTGGCCTTCATCTTCTCCTTCTCAGCCTTCTCCAGCTCTGCAAGCTTTCCGGTAGAGTCGACCTTGAGTCGAGCACCAAAGATCTTCACCTTGTCGGTATCCATGGAGGTATTTGCCACCAAAATCTTTGCCTTTTCCAATCGCTTCGGCTGGTTTACACCAATCTTCTTGTCCAAAATGAATCCCTCGTCGAGATAGGACTCGCTGAGCTTTCCACCCGCTTTCTTGATGATCTGAATATGGCTCAAGTCGGAAGATTGCTTGAGACGGAGGACGGCGTCGACGGCGAGCTCAGAAAAGTGGTTGCGGTCTTGGGAGAGAACCTTTGAGCTGAGAGTTGTGCGGGCGATGGCCAGAAGATCTTTTCGGAAAGCCTCGGGGCTCTTGCTGTGATCGACGGCGGAGTCCTCCAAAGCCTTAAGGGATGCCTGGCTCGCTATTCTGTAACCCTCAATGATGGTCTGGGGGTGAATCTTCTTGTCCACAAGCTTCTCGGCCTCGCGGAGGAGTTCGGCAGCGAGCACGGCGACAGATGTGGTTCCGTCTCCGACTTCGTCATCTTGAACTTTCGAAATGTTGACTAGGACCTTGGCAGCGGCGTTGTCCAGTGCGATGGACTTGAGGATAGTTGCACCGTCGTTCGTGACCATGATGTCTCCAGTGGATCTAGATGGTTCCATCAGTCCCGCACTTATAAGCCATCAATGAAAAGACAACTTACGCAGATTGAAGAATCTTGTCCATGCCCTTGGGTCCAAGAGTGCTCTTCACCAAGTCGCCGACGGCGATGGCCCCAACAAAGGCAGCTAGACGCGCATTCTCGCCCTTCTCCTCCGTAGTACCCTCCTCGAAGATTTGGGTTGGTTGAAACGACTAACCGCCTAATGTAAGTTAAACGCTGGGTAAAATAAGGGGAGTTTTGCATACCATGTTGAGAGAGTTGAGAGGTTTCCCCTAGCCTTTTGAAAGTCAAGGAGTATTATATTCGTGAATATGGTGGACTGTTCGGCTCAGATGAAGCAGGCAGTCACTTTTTTTCAAACCCCCGCGGCCTTGAAGCTCTGTCACCACCGCCGACCCGCTGAAATCAGGAGTTGAGACAGGGACCTGCAATCAACCCCACCAAGATAGAGCTGCACGTGACTTGCCCCGCGGTATCAGAAGCCGACGGATCTGGAACATTACTTTTCCGTCGCACACTTCAGGGAATACTGGGAGAATACGCAAATTCGCGAGTGGCCGTGGTCTTATTGAGTGGCTATTTTTTTCCCACCCCACGCTGGTAGCCCTGCACGATTTCCGCGTCGACCTGTCTGGACACTCGACTTGAAAGCAGATCCCAGTGGTAACCTCTACCCTTCTGTATTTCAAGCCTATACTCGAAGTCGGACACAGCGCCCAGGCAGCGTATACGATCCGACAGCTTCAAGTGCCAGTGTAGGGCGGGGCAACAGTTTTTGCACCCCTCCTTGGCCTTACAACATTCCCGCAATCATGGCGCCCACGTTCGAGCACCTCCGCGAGGCGGACCTTGACGATGACGAGTTCAACGAGGATGAGATTGATACCTCCGATCTGCGAGAGAGATTTGAGGTTCAACTCGAGCAAGGATACGACACTTTCGTTGTCATCGACGGCCTTCCCAAGGTTAACGAGGGCCAGAAGCCCAAGCTGGTCAAGTTCTTACTGAAAAAGCTCAACACCGTCGGGAAGGTCAGGGAAGATTCTGTCTACATGCCCATGGGCGATGATGGAGACTCCTTAAGGCATGCAAATAATTCCCCTTCTGGAAGAGTCGAATCATGTTGACTGACCAGGGTATTAGATTCGCATTCGTCGAGTACTCCTCCCCCGCTGAGGCGGCCGCCGCGACAAGACAGTTGGATATGGTTCCTCTCGACAAGAAGCACACTCTGCGCGTGAACAAGATGACCGACATCGAGCGATACGGCCGAGAAGGACGCGTGGACGAGAAGTACCAACCCCCCCACATCGACGAGTTCACAGAGAAGGAGCATCTCCGATGGTTCCTTAAGGACCCCTCCGGTCGCGGTCGAGATCAGTTCGTGATGTACAACAACGAGTCCGTGGGCGTGTACTGGAACAACGAGAAGGACCAGCCCGAGAATATCGTCGATCGTCTCCACTGGACCGAAACCTTTGTGCAGTGGTCCCCTCTCGGCACCTACTTGACCTCCATCCATGCCCAAGGTGTCCAGCTCTGGGGCGGCCCCTCCTGGTCTCGCCAGGCCAGGTTCGCACACCCTTATGTCAACCTGGTTGCTTTCTCCCCCCATGAGAAGTACATGGTGACTTGGTCAAACCGACCCATCTCCATCCCCGATGAAGGCCACCCTGCTCTCTCTATCGACGATGATGGAAAGAACTATGTCATTTGGGACATTGCCACCGGTTCACCTCTCCGATCCTTTGCCAACCTCGATGCCCCCAAAGTTGAGGACGGTCGCCCTCCCCCAAAGATGCAGTGGCCTGCCTTTAAGTGGTCTGCGGATGACAAGTACGTCGCTCGCTTGAACCCAGGACAGTCCATCTCCGTCTATGAGCTTCCCCGCATGAACCTTCTCGACAAGACTAGCATTAAGATCGAGGGAGTTGTTGACTTCGACTGGGCTCCTTCGAGCCCTCACCGGGAGGGTGTCAAGACCTACGAACAGCTGTTCTGCTACTGGACACCCGAAATTGGCAGCAACCCTGCCAAGGTTGGTCTGATGAGCGTTCCCTCCAAGCAAATCGTGCGAACCCTCAACCTTTTCAGTGTCAGCGATGCTAAGCTCCACTGGCAATCCGAGTCAGCCTACCTTTGCGTCAAGGTTGATCGTCACTCCAAGTCCAAGAAATCCCAGGCTACCACCCTGGAAATTTTCCGAATCAAAGAGAAGGGCGTCCCTGTTGAGGTAGTTGACACGATCAAGGATACTGTCATCAACTTTGCGTGGGAACCCAAAGGCGATCGATTTGCGATCATCACTACAACGGAGCCTGCTGGCCCCACCGCCGTTGCCCCCAAGACGGCGGTTGCGTTCTTCTGCCCCGAGAAGGCCAAGGGCCCTCATGCCGGCAACTTCAAGCACCTCCGCACGCTTGATAAGAAGAACAGCAATGCCATCTATTGGTCTCCCAGGGGCCGGTTTGTGGTCATTGCCACCGTCCACAACCAGCAGAGCTCGGACCTCGACTTCTTTGACCTCGACTTCGAGGGTGAGAAGCCAGAGGCTGAGAAGGACATGACCGCGAATCTGCAACTCATGAACACCGCCGATCACTACGGAGTAACGGATGTTGAATGGGACCCTTCAGGTAGATTTGTCGCTACCTGGGCATCAGTGTGGAAACACTCGGTAAGTTTGACGGTCCCAACACTCTAATTTAATTTACCTTCTGAGACGTAATATTAATTTGACGTATAGATGGAAAACGGCTATCACATCTACGATTTCAAGGGTGAGGCTCTGAGGGAAGAGCCCGTGGACAAGTTCAAGCAGTTCGCCTGGCGCCCGCGACCTCCTACTCTGCTGACCAAGGAGGAGCAGAAGGCTATCCGCAAGAACCTGCGTGAATACAGTCGCGTGTTTGAGCAAGAAGATGCCGACCGTGGCGCCTCTGCCGATTTGGCAGTGGTCGAGGCCCGTCGCAACATGCTCAATGAGTGGTACGCATGGCGCGAGGATATGGAGGCCGAGCTGGCCGAGGAGCGTGCTATCCTCGGCCTGCCGGATGATCCTCATGCCGCTCTCCTGGAGGCCAAGACCAAGTCAATAGAAGGATATGACAAGGAGACGGTAATCGAGGAGATTGTGGAGGAAGTGTTGGAGGAATCGGAAGAAATCATCACTACATAGACACGAGACTTGGGTGGTTGGAGATGAGATTGAAAAGGTGGTTTAGACTCACATTTACGTGCATCTGCAGGACTTGCTGCTTGTATTGCTCACGAAGTTTCGCAAGGGGCATATAGGGTTTGGTAATGAAACGACATGATTCAAACAAATTGCTTCAGTCTCCACTGTGATCGATATGGAATATTCGGGTGTGAATGTTGCCAACCAAAAGCAGGACTTCGGAAGGCGTCTTACATCCATCCATCCATGGTGGTACAGCACCGCCGCAGCCGAGCCGAGGTCATCTCGATCAGAGTGTCAGATCGTGTGGGTGAACACAATACCACGTCCTCTCACCGGCTGGAATATTGATTACCCCGTGCTTGTGTGCTTTTTAGGCAGTGCTCACCATGCCGCCCGCTTGCACAGAAGAGTCGGGTGGGAAAGGATGTAGCGTTGCAGCACTTGGAGTCAGCGATCCCATTGTGACGCTACCCGCACATAACGCACTGTGCATTTCTGCAGCCACTTCAGGTGTCGGGAGGGTCACAGTACACACTACCTATATTTGCCAAAATGCACATGTCTTGTTTTTAACTCCCTCAACGTGTGGCCTGTTTTTGGTGAGACATGTCATTATTGCGTTTGTTGTGCGTGTATATTTGTTGGGCCCTTGATGTTTTGTTTACATCCGCGTACGCGTCGCATTTAATTTCGTGCAATACACTTTACCTGCTATGTGGTTCGTGTTGGCTAAATTAAAGAAACCTTACTAATTATCGGCGTACTGTGGTGGTTGGTGTTGGTGGTGGTGGTGGTGCAGGGCAAGAACCTGAAGGAACCTACGAGTCTGACCGGGGTGTTCCATGGCCGCGCGGTTGTGTTCCAGGCTCCCACAAGAACAGTGTCACAAAATCGTAGACCGCCGTGGTGTAGACCACTTCAGGTCCCCTCTTGATCAGGGTGAACTGAAACACTTCTAGTGAAGAGTTTTCCCATGCAGAAGAGGGAGCTTGCCGATCAGCTGGGAATCGCGATGGCAGTGCTGCGATGCCCCTCGTCGTACCATGTGCCGTATGTACTGTGGACAAAACGGTACGAGGAGGAGGCTGTTGCGGCTAGATTGCGCGAGCAGGTTTATTAGGAGGTACTTTGTCAGCATGGTTGTCAGTCGTTGTATTGCCAGTGAATTTACCCATCGGGGTTGTAGACAGTACGCATTTGCAGGCCTCATCCAGAGAGGTACCGTTTCCAAGCGTACAGTGCCTCCTACCTCCTCAGCCAAGTTGATTCATGGGGAGAGGCTGAACCCGCCCCCATCCTTCCGCCCATCCTCTCCCGTCCTAAAAGTTGGCTCCCCCTCAGCTTATTCCTCCTTTGCTTGGACCCTCCACATTCCATCAACCATCACCTCTTCCCTATCTTCATTTTTCTTTCCATCCTTTCGAGTTCCATCTTGTTTCGCTCTCGGCTGGTCCCCCTGCAGAGCGCCGTTTGTTTTCCACCACCCGCGACAAAGTCAATCCGAGCACGCCACGCCGAACTACCGAAGCTACTAATTGATAGTGCTGCTCATTATTCCTCCTCCCAAAGCTCCCACCGGCCGACACGCGCGGGCAATAGCCCCTTCTTCTGCACCATCTGCATCGCCCTTTATCTATATTGCCAAAGTATTTGGCATGGCCATTGCCCATCTCCAGGAGCCTACCTCGTCCTAGGCTGTGTCCCACCAATGCCAATGTAATTCATCGTACGACGACTCCATCAACGACTCGGAGAGATGATTCGACGCCGACGACCTCGAGGACAGGGGACCCCTCCGCAGAAGCTCCTGCTCGCCGTAGCCTTTCTTCTAGTTCCATGGATTCAGCTCGCCGATGCTCAAGCCCGTGAACAACCCCGAGCGGCAATCCACCCACACCATGACGATGTCTCCGGCAGCCGCCGCCCACTCCACGATGATTCTGCCATACAAGCCCTAGCTGTCACCAAGCTAAGCGACGTCGATCCAGCTCTCAAGACAGCAGTCCTCGGTAGCGAGCGCCCGTCATTCGAAAAGGTCGACCAGCCGCACGCTGCACACCTTCACCGCCGTGACACTCGAAGCAAGCGACTTGACAAATCACGTCAACACTCCGCCCACAGCGACCGAAATACCAAACAACAACCATATATTCATATTCCTAGCGATGCGAGCGCCCTCGCAACTTTAGCTCCGGATCAGTCCGTACGAGCACCATATCCCTCACGACATCAAAAGCCCAGCAGCGCTGCTGCCTCTGGGCTGGTATCGCCGCATGTTGCGCGGAGTCTGGAGGATTGGGAAGTGGAAGACTTTGTTCTTCTGGCGACCGTCGATGGAGACCTCTATGCCAGCGATCGAAAGACCTTGAAAGAGCGCTGGCATCTTGAGGTGGACCAGCCCATGGTCGAAACAAAGCATCACAGATCCAACAGCTCCATCCTCGATGAAGACTTCAGCGCCATCGACCACTACATCTGGGCTGTCGAGCCTACACGAGATGGCGGCCTCTTTGTCTGGGTTCCCGACTCCGATGCTGGCCTCATCCGCACCGGCTTCACTATGAAACGCCTCGTCGAAGAGCTAGCTCCGTTCGCCGATGACAGAACATCCGTCGTGTACACCGGGGACAAAAAGACCACACTCATTACTCTCGACGCCGCTACCGGCAAGGTTCTCAAGTGGTTTGGCTCTGGCGGGTCTCACGTCAACGAGGCGGAGAGCTGCTTACGCCCCAACACTCTCTACAACATGGACATGGATGAGTGCAGTTCTACAGGCACAATCACTCTCGGGCGTACAGAGTATACTGTTGGCATCCAGCGCCGAGATGGCAAGGCCCTTGCCACGATCAAATATTCGGAATGGGGGCCAAACAACTTTGACCATGACCTCTTGACCCAGTACCACTCATCACTAGACAGTCGATACTTTACTAGTAGACACGACGGCAAGGTCTACGCCTTTGATCCAACTCGAAACGAGCTTCCCTCCATAAATGAAAAGTTCGCAACACCCGTCGCCCGAGTCTTTGACGTCTGCCGCCCTTGGGATGCTCCGACCGACAGCAACCCTGAATTGGTCGTTCTCCCCCAGCCACCAATGCCATCCCGAGACGAGGATACTGCTCGGATTAGGAGCCAGAGCATCTTTCTCAACCGTACATCTACGGGCAGTTGGTATGCCATGTCGGGTCGATCCTATCCCCTAATCATCGACGCCCCAATGGCTCCCGTCAGCAATCCTGACTGGCTTGACAACTATCCTCCCTGGGATACTCTTGACCTCAAGAGCGTTTCCAAGGCTCTGGTTGGCACTCATGTTCTTGAAGCTTCTCAGAAAGGCAGCTGGCGACGACCGTCATTACCTTCTGGGGAGAGCGGACATGAATATGCCGATAACGAACACAACGAGTCTGGAAACGAGTCCCCTTACCAGATTGAGGTTTCGGATAGCGATGACGCCAGCCTTCTCAACAAGGTGAAGTCCCTCCCGCAACATGCCGCAACAAGCCTGATCGATTTTGTTAAAAACCCGACGCTCATCCTCATTTTCATCGCCTTGCTCATCTACAATGAGAACAAAATCAGACGTTCTTACCACCAGATGAAGGAGAATGGCTTCTCCGTACCCTTTGATTGGTTTGGCAGGGAAACAGAGCAAAGCCAAAGCCCGGATAAGTACGGGGAATCGGACCTCTTATCGAATGCCAACGTATCCTGCGATGAGCCCCAGATTGTTGGAGCAGAGAAGCAAACCACCACACCCGAGGTCATTCCCAAGATAACAGAGCCAGCCGCAGACCAAAGCAGCAATGAGGGTGACCCGACAACACCGGAGCAAGCCAGATTGCGCGACAGGGCAACAGACCAGGGCCTGGAGGTTCCGAATGCAGACGGTGAGGCGGCCTCGCCTGGTGGGAAGAAGAAGAAGGCTCATCGTGGTCGTCGAGGAGGTGTGAAGCATCGCAAGAAAACACAGCGAGAAGGGTCACAGTCGCGAGATGATGAACCTGTTCCAAAGACAGTCGATGATGCCGTCACCTCCGCAAAGAAACTTGGGGAGGAGCGCCAGAAACTGGAGCCTGATGTTATGACTGTTGCGCCAAGCGATATGCAAGGCATCGGTAATCCCGTCATTCGGATGGGGAATATTGAAGTCAACACAGAGGACCAACTTGGAACTGGCAGCAACGGAACGCTCGTCTTTGCTGGTAAATTCGATGGCCGTGACGTCGCTGTCAAGCGCATGTTGATTCACTTCTACGATATTGCGGTCCAAGAGACCAAGCTCCTTAGAGAGAGTGACGATCATCCAAATGGTAGGCCACCAACCTTGGTGGATGCAAACTTTACACAACTAACAATGATTCACAGTTATCCGCTATTATTCTCAGCAGGTGCAAGATGGTTTTCTTTACATTGCCCTCGAAAAATGTGCAGCCTCCCTGGCTGAGGTTGTTGAGAAACCGCATATCTTCCGTGATCTTGCCAATGCTGGCCGTCAAGACCTCCCAGCCATCCTCTATCAAATCACAAATGGTATCAACCACTTGCACTCTCTTCGTATCGTACACAGAGACCTTAAGCCTCAGAACATTCTTGTCAACATGGGCAAAGATGGAAGGCCGCGTATGTTGGTTTCCGACTTTGGCCTTTGCAAAAAGCTCGAGGGTGGACAATCATCGTTCGGTGCTACTACTGGAAGGGCGGCGGGCACCTCAGGCTGGCGTGCACCCGAGCTCCTTTTAGACGATGACGCTCGTGATGCTGGTCTCGCTGATCTGAGTGCTCACAGCGTTGGCTCAGGCTCTGTACTCGTGATGGATGGCATGAACCAAACCAGCCGCCGTGCGACCCGTGCTATCGACATCTTCTCACTCGGCCTTGTGTTCTATTACGTTCTCACAAATGGATCGCATCCATTCGACTGTGGAGACAGATATATGCGCGAGGTCAACATCCGCAAAGGCAACTTCAACCTTCACCTCCTCGACTCACTTGGAGACTTTGCTTACGAGGCCAAGGACCTGATCGGGTCGATGTTGGCGGCCGATCCCAAGCAGCGACCTCCCGCCAGAGAGGTCATGGCACATCCCTTCTTTTGGTCGGCTAAGAAACGGCTTGCTTTCCTCTGCGATGTGTCGGACCACTTTGAAAAGGAATGCCGAGACCCGCCATCCGAGGCGCTCCAGGAACTGGAGAGGCACGCCTCGCAGGTTACCAGGGGTGACTTCCTCCGCCAACTCCCTCGTGAGTTTGTGGATTCTCTCGGGAAGCAGCGCAAATACACGGGTACCAGACTTCTGGATCTCCTCCGTGCCCTCCGTAACAAGAGAAACCACTACGAGGACATGCCGGACTCGCTCAAGCGAACCGTCGGCCCTCTGCCCGATGGCTATCTCAGCTTCTGGACCACCAAATTCCCCATGCTGCTCCTGGATTGCTGGAATGTTGTCTACAACGTGAGGTGGGAGGATACGGACCGGTTCAGGGAGTATTACGAACCTGCCGGGCTGTAACGGTCTCCCGCGCTTGGTACTCCGAGTACTTTGATCTGATTGAAGGATCTCGGCGGGTAACAAGGTAAGTCAAATGAGTGTCATTAGGTCTGATATGGTAGAAACATTATGTTTTTAAATATCTGTTTATATACATCTCATCGCAATTTACATATTTCTTGATTTATCCACCATTTCCCAGTCGGCCTTTATTACCAAGTACATGCCAACTGTGATCCAGCCTTTATGTTGCTGTTACTTGGATGCTTTGGGATATGGTTCTCTTGACATCTTCAACAGTAATTTCCTTCACATATCTATGCTCGACAAATTATGATGTTAAGATGATATACATATCACTGTTCAGATTATGGAACGCCCCTTGCCTTTCCCAACATGAAGCATGTAAATCACCTAGAAGGAAACACTCCAAGGAGGGAGATGGGTCGAGAAGCCAGCATCCAAATACAAACTTTTCATCGTTGTCCACATGACATGTCGTAAAGTCAAATCTCGCTCGCACGCCCAGGCACAAGCCCACACACATACTTGGTCATCTCTACCCAAACCCGCTACAAACGCCAAGCTCAGATAATCGTCTTCTCACATCAAAAAGGGACAGTATTGTAGAAAAGGGGTAATAAGTTTAGCCCCACTGGACCAGGACCTGCTTCTTCCCCTTCTTTCCGCCCTTCTTGCCCTGTCCTTCTGCAGGCTTGTCTGCGTTCTCATCTGCAGCGGCTGCATCTGACGACTGACCGCTCTCGCCGCCCCAAGAGAAACCGGTCTCTCCCCGGCCACCTAGACCGGGCAGGTCCCGCCTCACGCCGCGTCCGCTCCCGTAGCCAAAGATTGTAGTCTGTGGCTTGGGGGCTGACGGCAGGGCTGGGAAGGCATCCTTGTCGTTGGCCTTGGGTCGTGGGCGGTTGTTCAACGGTGCCGAAGATGAGCTCGCGCTTGATTGTGAAGTTTGAGCAGCCGAGCCGGTATTCCACGATGGCGTTGATGAGGAGGAGGCAGTGCTCTTCTTTGAAGATGGGGGCAGCGAGGGGAAACCGGCTGAAGCAGGGGGTCGGATAGAAGTTGAAGCGGACGCTACCCATGTCGGTTGTGATCTGGAAACAGGTGCGGGGCCGAGCCTGGTGCTGTTCTTCAACTTGAGCACTCTGTTCGAGTGTTTCTGCGCCGGTGCGCCCGTAGGCAGAGCTGGGCTGGCAGCTCCCGCAGTGGCCCATCCGCTCGAACTTGACGTGGCTCCGTGCATGCCGCTCAGCCCAGGTAGACTGGGGTAATCTTCATTGATCGCCCGCCAATCCTGCCAGGCTTTGCGAAGTGCGTCGGACTTGACTTTGTCGTCAAATAAGTCGGCAACCTCCCTGAGTAGTGTGCCGAGGGCATTTGACGAAGTATCGCCGAAAAGGGTGAAGAAGGCGTCTACCAGCTCTGGTGCAGTAAACTTGCCCTGTCGGTATGTCGAGATATGTTCTCGGAAGGTCGCCAGCTTCCGCGCATCGTTGTGAAGTAAATTTGAGGCTCGCTCGACTACAGAGCCATGACGAACAGCTCGTGCGCGATCTTCAGGAGTCATGTTTGCGGGGTCGACTGTGAGAGCGTCCAATTGAGGGATGTCTCTAACTTCGGCGTTGTTGGCGTTGCGGTTCTGTGCTGGGCGAGGGGTTGATGGAGAGCTGTTGTTTCTAGATCCAGACGGCGGTGTATTAGTTGCGGCTGGGGCACTCAACTGTCCTCCAAAGGTGCGGTTTGACACGGACTGGGCTGAGTGGATGGCCATTTGACGTTGGAAAGCAATCTCATCTCGGCGCAGTGGTTGTGCAGACGACACCGGTACAGGTTCAGCATTCTCATTACTCCAACGGCCTCCCCTTCCACCTCCACCACCACCACCGCCACGTCCCTCCCTCCGTCGATCTCTGCGCCCACCTTCTCTCCTATCGTCTTGGTAGGGCGTTCTGATGTCGAAGCCAGAGATGTCCACAAGTCTCGAATCTCTGCCGGTGGTCTTACCACCATGTTCGCTGAGCTGGTGCGCCTGTAGGTCCATATCGGTGTCGAAGACGACAAACTTCTTCTCCAAACACTCGCGATCATTGCATAGGTAGTGATCCTTCTTGAAATGTTCCTCCAAGGCGTTATAGTCCCGGTAATAATGAGGCTTCCGGGAGTCCCTCCGATCGCAAATGAAGCACCGCTCGTGCTTGTTGCGGCAATGCTCGTACAGCTTATCGTCGTCGTAGAATCTCTCGCCGCAGAAACCGCACAGAGGGTGTCCCTTGAATCCCGTCTGGTCTGCGGCTCCCGGCTTGTCATCTCCGTATCGCATATGCTTCTCTAGCTCCTTGTCGGCGAACAGTTCGTGCTCATGTGTGAAGACCCTCTTGTTACGAGTGCACAGATCACACATGCGCTTTTTGTGCGCGGACTTGACATGGCGGTGCAGGTCGGGCCATCCCAGGCCAGCGAAATCGCAGTCGGCGTCTGGGCAGTTGTAGCGGAGGAGGAGGACAGTATCGCCCACGATATCTTCGTTGGCATATTTGATGCCGATGTTATCGTCCGTCGTCGTGATGTCAGCATTGGTGAAGTCTTCGAAGCGCTTATCAGCATTGGGGGCGAAGATGACATAGGGAGCGGATGTCTAGAATCTCGGAATGTTAGCAAGAGCTTCAATCAACTGGCTTATTTCGGCTAGAGATGCCTGCCAGTTGGGCTGACAGAGGGAGCAGAAGACATACACGACAATGAGCACAGTTCTTGTCCTTGTAGAGTGCTCTCATCCGCAGACCGCAGATATGACATGTGGTATGGTTGCAGGGCGCAATCGAGTGGTGAGAGACGGGGTTGGCGCAAATGAAGCAGACCTCAGCATCGTCGTCTGCGTTCTCTTCGTCGACTGGAGGCTTTCCGGCGCTGATACGGGCCTTGTCGACGGCAGCCGCGAGGTCCTGGGCGGCGGGGTTTGACAGGTTCTTGCGGGAATCAGCATCGTTCTGGGCGCTAGTGCTTCCGCCTCTCTGGTTTCCGCCTCGGCCGCGGTTTCCTCCTCGTCCTTTTCCTCGTCCCCGTTGGTTCTTCGGGCCACGCTGAGCTCCAGATGACGGAGCTGAGGGTGCACCACCAGGTCCCCCTGCCGCGGAAGCTTCCATGGCAGACAATGCGTCGATTGGCTGTGGGCTCAGATCAGTGTCGAGAAGTGGTTGGCAGGTCGGGGCAACAGAAAATAATAGGATTGGTGGCAAATATGCGTTAAAGATGGGAGCGAGATCGAACTCTAGATCGGCAGAGATTCACAGACTGAGCAGTACAAAAATCGGATCTGCGATGGACAGATGGCTTCTCCGGAATAGATAGGAGGTAATTTACTGAATATGCACGTTTCGAGAGGATGAGGGGAGGAGTCGGAGGTCGGCAGAGCTCCAGGTGTCGGGGAGGCAGGCTGATAAATAAGGTGCAGCAGATTAGAATTTTGGGGGACCGACCGATGGGGGGCCAGTTCCAGATCGTTTCGATGATGGAGGGGCACATTCTTCAGCACTTCGAATCGGCCTCAGAGGGTAGTCGTAGTGGGGGCCGATCCCTGTCACTGCGCCCCGTCGGCGCCGTGTTTTAGCTGCTGGTGCCCCAAGCCGAGAGAGCACCAAGACAAGACAGCCTTACCTTGACCTGCGCCATGCAGCTTGCCTAGCTGATTCTTCGAGGAGTCATTCTTACGAATATGCCCTCTGCTTACCGAGCCGCTGTAGCATCCCGTGTCATGTAGGTATCTACCCGCCTCTAGCCACATCTTACCAATCACGATGCAAGTATATCGATATCAGCACTTTAGGTACATTCCAGTACCCTACCCTAGAGCGTTCCGATTAACATCGACCCCGTCAATAAACCACTTTTCATCTCGGCTTGATAATTCAAGCAGGAGTAGACATCCTGGAGATACTGAATTTTACTGTAAATTTTAGCTTCACGGTTCTGACCATTTACGGCGCGCCTTCACCGCCGGGATGAGCCAATCCATGGCTCATTCTGAATCGACATGCAAGCTTCGCCATCCGCTGACTCACTCACCGAGCGCTCGTACCAGATCATGCCAACAGCCTTTGGGTATCCCTGTTGAGAAAGCTCTAGGTTCGAGCGAATAGACATCGTAAAAGAGATTGGCAATTTTGGATGGCGGTTTTTTTTTTTTTTTTTTTTTTTTTTAAAAAATTTAATTCTAGAAGGCTTCGCAAAGACTTTGGACAACATCCCAGCGATGCCTGTGATGTCATTGGTTTTTAGGAATTCTAGTCAGATCCCGCATTATCATGGCTAGGTACGATGTAGCCTGTTCGTTGCTCTGGTCGGACTATCAGACCACGAAGACCATCAAACCACACCATGGATCAAGCAAACGTGAATTTGTCACTATTTTCATGAGGTCAATGGATGATTTAGTATCGTGAATGTTTCACGGCTTCTCTCACAGCCCAAGGGATTGTATTTAGTTATTTAAACAAAGATCCAAAGCTAAAAGCACCACCACAAAAGAGAGTCACGCAAAGTCGTGAAAACTGACATTATTCTTTTCTCCCCAGTCGCTGGTATTTATATACCCGCAGGAAGCCCTTGTCTGTCTCATAATAAAATACATCGGTGGTGTCTGTGTTTGTTTGTCGTTTGTTTATCAAAAACCCGCATCACCTCTCTCGCTGTTCTGTTCCAATTCTCCAGGGTTCCCCAAACATCACTCCCCTAATAACCCGGGAAACGCCAGAAAGCGGACATCCTCGCCAACTCTTTCCGTCTCTCCTCTTCCCCCTTCCCCTTTCCTTGAAATAACCTTGTCCCTATGCATATCCATTCACAGCCTTTACCGGTTAATCCATCGCTTTTCATACGATAATATCTTGTATGCTTAACGTCATGAGTTCCTTAAACAAATAGAAAAAGCAAAAATAAAGGGAGAAAATAAAGCGAATAATGAAAAAAATACGCCGCCTGGCGCCCCTCACCCAAGATAGTTCGCAAATATCAAAATCCTCCCTCTCCAAGTTGCTCGCGATTGCCGTGACTCGTACCTGCGCCTGCTAATAATAACAGCAATAGCAGTAGCTTACACCACTGTGAGTTTCGGGTGTCTGCCTGCTGGTTTGCACGCAGTCCTGAAACTGTAGAGTGATGAAATTATGTTATGAAAGACTGGGGTAAAACATTATGCCTCCTCGACGGGGTAAAGATGGTTGCTGATCTCCTTGTTCATGCGGAACATGTCAACCTTGGTCTGCTTGAAGATGGCTTGCATCTTCTCATCGCAAAGAATTTGTCGCCTGTCGTTTGGATCCTGGAGATCGTTGGCCTTGATGTGTGCCCAGAGACTCTTGACGACTCCAGGTCGTGACAGCTATGGACAACTTGGTTAGCTTGTGATACTCTGTGTGATTGGGAGCCAAACGGTACTCGTGGTGATTTGGCATCAAAGTACAGAAAACTGGCGAGGAGCGAAATAACCATACCTGGGTCTCGCCGGTGAGCTCAGAGAGCGCCGGGCTGAGGTTGAATGGTTTCTGGAAGCCACCTCCAGCCCTCTTCTTTTTGGGCTCGGCACCCTCGACGTCGCTGTCGTCTTCCGATTTGACCTTCTTGGCACTCTTCTTTCGCGGTGCCTTCTTCTTCTTGACCGCCTTCTTGTCTGTGCCACCGCCGCGGGTAGACCTGCTCCGAGCTAGGCTGTTCTCTTGAGCTTGGAGCTGGGCCGCCAGGCGGGCGTCGGCGTCTTCAGCAGAGGAAGATCGCTTGACCTTCTTCCTCGCCGGCTCGGGGGAAGCAGATGCGTCGGAATTCGCGTCGTCGTAGTGGGAGGTGCCATTGGTCGAGGATCGCTTCTTCGTCTCGCTGTCCTCGTCCTCCTGCGCGTCTTCGGACAACCGCGCCTCGAAACGTTTCTGGATTAGGTCCTTGATGGCATCCTGCCGTTTGATGGATGGTTAGCATAAAGCAACTCAAGTGACATGCATGCATGCAGCTTGTGGGAGAGAGAACACATGTATCCCAAGCAAGCTTGCCGGTACTGGCAAGGAGCTCACCTTTTGATCGCTGAGGTCCCTACCCCCAAGTCGACCCTCGAGAGCCTGCCGAACCTTCCTTTGGGAGATGGTCTCGAGGTCTGCGGTCTCAAGGATCGCATCGATGATACCTGCGAACTTTTTCTCTTCGGAATTCGTCACTATTGGAAAGATAGAGGTAGGTGTTAGCTCAGGCACGACTATTGTTTGTACCACAAACTGGGAATTGGACGTGCAAGAGATGGAAAAAACATACGTGGAGCACTCATGATGACTCTTGCCCAACCGGGGACCTGTTTTCGATCTAGGACTGAGGGCTTCGTGAAGGCAGCACTGGCGAAGCACGAGGTCCGTGTAACCGTCTGCTCTGAAGAAGCAGGGGGGGCTCGAGGTATCGTATCGTGTGGCGGAGGAAGGCGAGGTTTGGCTGGATCAACGGCGCAGCCAGCTAGGAAACACGATCACTGGCCCGGTGCAAGCTCGTGCGGGCTGTCGGAGTGGTCGAAGCTGGGATGCGTGCAGCGTGAGTGCCGAGGGTTGGGAAGGGAAGACGGCGCTAGTATAGAAAGGCTGCGATCGGCTCGTAGACGTGCGGGTAGGTGCGTGTGCGCGTGTGGGAGCTGGCTGCGGTCCGTTGAGTGGGAAGACAAGGATGTACCGACTGGTGTCGAGGAGTCAAAAGCTGCTGGTTTGAAGAATTAGGCTGGTCAACAGGAATGTTGTTGGTGGTGGTCGTCGATGGTAGCTGCTCGTGACGACAAGGCGGTTAAAGGTGGATCGTGGGACAATGTCGGCATTGGCCGTGGCGCGCTTACTTTATAGTAGGTAGGTAGGTACGGTAGGTAAACCTGGGTACTTTACTTCTCGCAGGTAGTGCGAAGGTTCTGGTGGCACTTTGCCCTGCTGGAGAGCAAACGGCGCGAGAAGGTAAAAAGGTAAATGGAAGCAGAGCACGGCCTGACGTAGCGTAAGGTAGCAGAACAGGGTTTTGGGCGCAGGAAGCTTCTACGCTCAGGGAAATGGCATCGAACGGGTGCTCAGGCTGAGGAGCTGCAAGTACTTGTGTGTGGGGTTTGCAAGTTCTGGTTTGCCCGTTGTCTGGCTTGGCTGGATGAGGGAAGGAGTGGGATGGGAGTTGGAGATGGCGAGTTGCAAAATGTGGCTGGGGTTACACACGCTCTTTTTCCCGATAAAGCGCGTACGCCGCTGCAACAGCCAGTCGTTCCCCTTCCACAGCTCAGCCTTGTGGCTGGTGCCGGGGTGTCTCTGCCGGATATCCAATCAGCCGCCGAGCCTCCCAATCCCCTCATACTTGCGCCCCGTGGCTGCATTTCGACGGCCTGTGCCTCCTCATCACGTTTGACGTCCAACGACAGTGCATCCGTCAAGGTTTCTTGCCGCATATATCGTTACAGAAACAACTACAAGGAATGGATTCATCATCTTTCATCGGGAGGCGTATCTAGAACCCCCCTTTGACTGTACCTAGTGAGACTCATCTCTGAATATCATGATAATTGGGCTCGCTATGGTGAACGCAAGTAGCTGCAAAGCTTCTCTGCCCACCTCTCCGCCCCTTTGTAGCGCCACATTCCCGGTGCATTCCCCTTCTTGAGCCCCTCCATCGCATCTGCCAGCTCTGGGCCCAGCCCTTCCTTCTTAATATCGCTGATCGGATACATGTAAGTTTTGAAGGAGAACAAGACTGAGCCCGTTTTGGGCAATCTCGTAAGCGCCTGCAACTCTGATCGAAAGTAAGTCTGTTGTTTGTTGGGGTTCAACATCAGCCATAATCCAAAGAGGGGAGATTAACATAAGGGGGAGGGAAGAAGGGAAAGCAAGAACATGCAGAAGCCCGTGGGCCTTGCATCGGACCACACTGACCTCTTCTATGCGGATGTCTTCCCCTCGACCAGGCTCATCCTTTGCTGTGGTAGCGTCACCCCCGCAGTCAAACAGTTCCGGGTGTGTTTGAATCGACCACTGTCAGGGCCTAGGTCAGCTGTTCACTCTCTCGTGTCAAAGTACCTATGCAATGCACGGGTAAACTCTAAACGCCCAACTCACGTTGTTCCTCTTCACACTCTTCCCAACTTCCAGCTTGCTGAAATATCTCTCCATGCTCGCCCCGATCTTCTCGTACGACGGGACGGGCCCATGAACATCTCTCAACAGTTTCCCCAGCTTCTCGGATGGGTTGAATCCCGATGGGAAGCAGCAGACAAACGCATCGGTGAAATGCCCGTCGGGAGTCTTGTGGAGGAGAAACATGTCTTCCTCGACGGTCTGTCCAAGGACTCGGAGACACTGTTCCCCATCCTCGTACGGGTTGACAGGAAAGCTTCGCCCCGTCACCGTGTTTTCGAGCATCTTCCTGGAGTCGGTCAGTCGGAATATGGATGGGTGGTGGCTCGGTAAATGCTCTCCCATGAGGAAAGCGTATAGCTCATGAACGGCTTCTCTACCAGTCGGAAGGCAACCATAGACTGTTCTTTGGTGGCGCTCCATGAGCTGCCGCCTTAGGTTGATTCTGGATAGATAATTTCTATCCATAATTATCAGCTCCGATAGAGAGTTGTTTTGAATCGCTGTTACTAGGTCAGTTAATGCCTCGTGTAGGTAGCGTGTGTTAAGTGGCAGCTCACCCATCGTGATATGGTAGATGGGCTTGAAAGGGCGTAGCTTCTTAGGCTCTGTTGTTGCCCAATCGAACTCTTTCGCTACCAGTTGATGTTCGTGTGTTCCAGCTTGCTGAGACTTGGATGTTGAATGTTTCTTTCGCCATGTTGACTGTGGGAAATCGGATTATTACATGTATGCGTATAGTTACACTTCAATCGAATCAACTAACTTGGAGGATGAAGACTGAGCATCTCCATATCACGGCGACGACAAGTAACCCCACTAGGAGCCGGCCGACGATATTCTGTGCACCATGACGCACATATTGGGAAGTCATCGCTGGTTCAACTGGTAACTTTGAGTAGTCCGAAGTTGTGACTTAGTTTTGACATGAATTATTATTGTAGTCATCTGACCGAGAATCTCAAATGGGATATTCTACATCTGATCTTATATACAGTGTCGCTGGGGCGTTATCTTCCTGTCCGTTTCAGGTTAAGACGCCCCCTCTTCTTCCTAGCCTGATTCCTTTGACACAATAGCCGATATCGCCAGTTTCCCACCACCCCACAAAACCCTTAGATGCACACCTAAATTCGGAGCTTGAGTTTGTTGTCGGGTGAGTAAAAGCCCAGCGTTGAACGTCCGGCCTCGCACAGCTAGCTGCCAAGGCCGACGCTAGCCAGCGACGACATCATCTTGTGATGCGAGGCCACGGGCAATTAGTTGGAGGAACCATGACTGGAGCTGAGAGGATTCAGCACCCAGCAAAAGGAGGCCAGCCATCCTTCATTGTTCTCTTTGATAATAGAAAGAGCGGGAAGCCAACACCGAATCCCTCATCGCGCCAAGAGTTTCGACCAATCCCACCATAATTCCACCAACTCATCCCTGGCTACCTTGTCGGATTTGCTAACGAGTTTTCCAGACGAGTATTCTACTGATCCAAAGTCTTCGGCTCTGTGTAAATACAACTGCCTCAGGGTGCCACCAACCATTTCGGAGTCAACAAGCTGATATTTCTTTTTGAGACGTGGCTCTGTTTTATTTCGTAGGGGTCCTAAACTCCATTCGTAAAGATGGCTCCAGTCAAATGTTGCCTCTGTGTGTTCGAGTTCTTCGAGGTCGATCCCATCCTTGTATTGCACGATGCTGTAACCGTTTGAAAGCACAGTATCAGATCCGAACCGCCATCGTTGCATCATACACGACCCACACAGCTCCGTGGTTTTCGCCATTAGGTCAACCGGGTTGTGGTGCCAAGACTTCCAGTGGTGTAGGCTCACAGGATACCGTCCGGATTCATAGAAGCCACTGGGATCGCCCATAATGTCCAGCTGGTTAAGGCCTGGCAGAAGTTCCAGCTCGGTGGTTGTTTGATTGGCAATACAATTCTTGAGAAGTGCATCTCCTTGGGGAGATGGGCTGGATTTCAAGCAGCTCTCTATCTTTGGCTCAATCTGCTCCGCTAACGAGATGCTCAAGAAGGCACCGGCCCCACCGTATGCCATCATTCCGTGTCTCTGGAGGGCATCGAGGCTATCCGACAGGGCACCGAGGTATGCAGGTTTGGTATGATCACGATCGGCGAGGAGAGTGGCGAGTGGATACAGCGAAGGGAAGAAGGTATCGTCGTCAATGATGCCCAGCCACTTGGTGTCGGGAGTGAGGTGATTCAACATATCGCGAAGGATGGTGAAGTGCTGCTCGTTTGCGCCAAGAGATCCATCTGCCCAGGGGGGTGCGACAACGAGATCGATATCGTGGCTTCTGAAGAGGTGGAGCAAGCGACCGAGTTCCGAAGCATGATTGTTAGCGTCGATAATGATGACTACCAGACGAGCTCCGGAGCCAGAGAGCCAGTGAGTGAGTTGAGAAAGCGAGTCGAGAAGACGGTCATAGCTCGTGGCGAGGCCGAAGAGCAGTTGTGGATATTTCTGGGTTGGGAATGGTCTTGGAACTTTTAGGTCGATGGTATTACAATGTGTTGGCTTCCATTCCTCGCATGACCCTTGGCGATCGATGATACGGCCACGTTCAAGAAGCGGAACGTTGATGTCGGCAACCACATTCCTTTGGGCCAGCTCAGTATCGGAGAGTCGAATGCAATGTGAGTGGTAGACAATTTCTCTGGTTAGACTGTTTTGATGTCGTCGTAGGTAGGAGCTTTCTAACGGGCATTCCTTGGCTTTCATTTGACCAGGGGTCTCACCCGATGGAAATGACCATGACGTCGTCGGGGGTCGACGGTGATTGGAATAAGCTGCGTGGTCGGATGTCACCAGAGAGATGACTGTGATTGAGAAGATGATTGAAGCCAAGACCAAGGCTCTCCTGTAGGTACCTGGCGACATGTAGATAGGTGCCCTCATGGCGTAGGTCCGTAGATCTGTATAAAATAGGTTGAGCTGTACAAGGGCCGTGAGTAAAGTGTCCAGGCGTTGAGAAACAGTAGTTGAAATGGTAAAGAGGAAACGAGATGTGATGCGCCGCGCAGGGCTTTTTTTGAGTCGGAATTAAAAGAATGGTATGAGTAAAATGGTACGCTCCAGGGTCCTCCGGGGATTGAAGTGAGAAAATGACGAGTTTGGGATGCCAACGAAGTAAGGGGTTGAATGAATAAGTGGAAGGAGAGTGTTTCCTATCGTGGGGTGCTAGGCATCCTCGATTGAGGAAGTGAACTGTGGCGGGAGCTCACTACTGGGTAGACAAAGCAGAGAGAGGAGAGAAAGATGAAGTTGGTCCGGATAATGGGGAGACGGGAGCGAGGAGAAGAAAAGAGGATGACGAATGCCCCAGTATTGATCGAGGTGTATCCCGCCGGAATGAGAGATCAGCAAGACACTGCCTGAGCTAGGCGGGCAGGGGTGTTTCGGAGGGGAGGTATTAAAGAGATCGTCAAGCTCAGACACTGTACGGTGATGCGGGAGAGAGGAAAGCGAAGGGAAGGGAAGCGAAACGCAAACAGAACTCGTAAGTTGCGCCAATGGCGGGAAGGGACCACCCACGACATTTCTGAGATGGGTCTTGTAGCATCAGATTGGTACGCATTCACTTAGCCTCGCGTGTTTGGCCGTCATACCGGCACCAGGACGAACGGCATCCACATGAAAATGCAGACATACCTACTTACGTAGTGTGGCATTGCCGTGTGGCCTCATTGCTTGGCTTTCTTGGCTATCCGAGACTGATGGACGGGGCCAGGCGCCCTTGCAAGTGGCATCTGGGTGGAGCTGTCACCTCACATTCACAGCAAAGGGGGGAGCATGGCGTGGACGGATTGGAGTGCGTGCGCGTATGTCAGAGAGGACACGGAAGGCAGGTGGGAGCTTGGGATGGGACGCAAGCGGTCATCCATGTTGTGGTGTTGGGATGTGGAAAGTGGACGAAACCGTCGACTGCCGCGCGTGCCTTCTACTTCTGCTGTGTACCTGGTAGGTGCAGGAGCAGTGCAGTGCTGTGCAGCGAGTGCTCCTTCCTCACCTCCTGGAACAATGTTCCAGAAGCAGCTGTGGGTGGGGCCAACGTCACAGAGTCAAGTCAAGGCACAGCAAAAGCTTATTCCATGCCAGCCGAAACCGCGACATGAAACAGTCAAACAGTGCAGTGGCACTGGCTCGCACAATCCACGTCCATGTCCATCGAGGCCACCGATCCATGGTTTGCCGTCCGTGCCAGTCCCAGTCAGGGGCTTATTTTTGTTGGCTCCAAGTTTCGAGCCCTGATCAGCAATTACTCTGTACGACGGGCGGTGCGTGCCTCTAGCAGATACGAATAAGGGGCGAACCAGAAGCCAATTCGCTGAGATCTCATCTGGCTTTGTCCAGTTCAAGGTGGCCCGTGTGCCCTGGTTGGCCTCCCCTCTGCCAAAAGTCTTGGCGATCAGTCGCACCTGAGCGCCAATTTCGTCATCCTGGGCCGTCGATCGTTCCTCTTCATGGGGTACGTACTACTGTGACGACGATACTGTGCGATGGAGCCATGGGGACGACTAGGGAGCCCCGACACCTACCGCAGACCCCTAGGACACGAGTCCAGGGGGCCTAGTCCTCGGATTCTCCCTCAGAACAATCAATCATTGATCAATCAATGCCAATATTATTTCAAGTGCAATCCGGTTCAGCAACAGATCTCTTCTCGGCCTGTCCCTGCGCCCTGGTCGACATATGCTGGGGCTCCTTTTCAACCCAGCAGGGAAGACACGGCTGCCTCTCGCCGTTCGCCGAGACAGACCAGGCATCGACCGTTGACAATTCCAAACTCGCAAGCCACAACGACACAGGAATGACGAGGCCCACCCAAACAAAACCTGCTATGCAGCGACATAAGGTGATTGGGCGAGTGCGCAGTGTTCACTGTGTTGCCATTGTGCACGTCTCGTCTCCACAAGCAAGACAAGTGTATTTTTATCGGGTTGGTATGGCATTCAATTTGTGGCCTCTCTCTGACTGGACTGAGACCGTTGATGGCTCAGTCCCCCCACCCCGTTTCGTTTCCCTCCAACAGTGACCAGGTTACTTGCAACTGCTCTCTTTTCTTTTGCAGCAACTCTCTCAGGTTGAACCAAGATCTACGTGTACCACCGCTAGTTTCCCAATTCCTTCTTTACGCCAGCGAACAGGTAAAGTATCTGATCACCGCAACCCCGCAGCGCCCAGCCTGAGTCTAGACTCGTCCTAGACCAACGTCGTATACCTGATACACTTGCGGACCTCGTGAACCTCATATTTTGCATCCTCTCGATCACGCATATCAATTTTGGGATTTTTATGGCCATGGCCACTTGAGACAAATGCATATTAGATGCTCTCGAAAGGACCGATTTCATCTTATTTATGAATTGAGATCCTTTTTCGAGTCGTCACTCGAGGGGTTACCAGTACTGGCCATGCTGGTCGCGTTAGACTGAGCTCCTGAGCTCTACAGAATGACATGCTTATGCTTTAACAAGTCTCCTACTTAGCATTCAAACGATCACTGTTTAAAAATGGGAATATTTGTGGGATGAGTACCGCTCGGGTTGCCAAAAGCTATTTAATATATTTGATTTTTGGTACGCTTGTATGATCATTTTACCTGACTCAATGTAAACTTTGACAGCACTGAAGTATAAGCCCCAGGTATAACGTGTATGGCGTAATCTTGGTTGTGTGCCCATAATCGCAAAGACAGAAGCACTGAATGTGATAGTCGCACGCACTGGGGAGAAAGGAGCCAGAATGCCAGAATGTCATAAGACACGAGAATGAGTTTGAAACCTCAATGATACCATTCAATTACCTCTATCTAGTTCCGTAACCGCCTCGATCGCTTGCCTGTCCAAATTCCACCGAAAACTTCCTTGCATGTTCATGGAGCTTACATATGAAAATCATCTTATTTCATCATCTTTTTATCCTGTTTGGAGATCTTTTTGTTTTGTTTGTTGATTTTCTTATCCTGCCTTATGATTTTTATGTTCTGTTTTATGATTTTATTGTCCTGCTTTGCGATCTTTTCATCTTGTCGCATGTTCTTCTCTTCCAGCGCATTTAAACGCCGAGTCAGCATGTCAATAGAGCGCTTGTGCTCTGATTCGATCTGGGGAAGATCCTTGAACATTTGCTCTAGAAGAGGGCTACTCTCATTCTCAGCAAAACGCCTGGATTTGGATGACCCTTCGCCGCATGGAGCCTCGGTCGGTTTTTTTCTGTCACGGCGCCGAGCCTCGCTTGACTTGGTTTTCTCACTAGGACTGCTCTGCTGCTGCGTTGTTGCCCTTCTCTTCGCAGCGGGCCGCCCACCGGCGGTCGGTTTCTCAACCTCGTCTTCCTCACGGCGCCTCTTGGCAGATCGAACCTCTGACTTTGGCTTTTCATCACTCTTTGTTGGCGGAACAGAAGCTCTCTGGGCCGAGGTGGGAGGTTCCTGATCCTTTGTCGGGATTGACGCCATGGGCACGCTGGAGTCAGAGTCGGGCTCAGACTTGATATCTTCTTCCTCATCGCTCATGTCATCTGAAGACCAGGCCTTCTTGTCACCACGTGTTGAAGCCTCCACGGTTGTCTTGGCAGGCTTCTTGATCCCGGGATTTTTGGGAGTAAGGGGCTTTGGTGGCTCGGGCTCAGAGTCACTCTCATCTTCGCTACCGTCGCTGTCGTCGTCGCTATCGTCGTCGTCGTCGTCGTCGTCGCTACCGTCGCTGCTACCATCGCTGTCATTGACACTACTGCCTTCATTAGTGTTGCGACTGGAGCGACCTTTGTTGTCGCTGACACCGTCATTGCTATCGCCACTGCTACTGTAGCTCTCGCTGCCGCTGCCGCTGCCGCTACAGCTGCTGCTTTCACCGACGTTGTCACTGGTACGTTTGCGATTATTCTCGTCGACATTGTCACTGCTGTCGCTGTCGCAATCAGAACCACTGCTGTCCCCACCGCTCGAGGAGCTGCCAGAGGGACTTGCAGTAAGGCTTCGAGTCATCTTTCGGGGGATGTGGTCGCGCTTGAAACGTTGTATGGTGCCCGGCTCAGCACCCGAGCCAGTATCTTGGTAGACACTGCTGGCTTCCGTCTCGCTCTCAGACTCAGACTCGGATTCTTCCGAGTCAACGTCGCCATCGCTGCCAATACTGGGGGATAGTGATGGTGTAGGTGCCTTTTGAGTTCGCTTAGGAGAAAGAGGTGCTTGTTTCTTTGGCTGTGTTGTCTTCGCGCGGGGTTTGGGAGTGGTGCCCTTGGTGCCCTTGGTGTCCTTGGCCGGTGTAACACTCTTGGTGATGGCTGGGAGTTCCTGGGACTGCGGAAAGCTTGAATCGAGAGACTGGGGCACCCTAAGGTGGCTTGGATTGACTTGGAAAGGTTGGGATGCAATGTATTCTTCGTGTTGTTGCTGATGCCCGCCAGTCATCATCTGACTTGCCTCGGACTGTTGAGATGTTATAGGTTCATTGACAACTCCACTTGGCAGCCGAGATGCCTGGGACTCGTAGAAGCTTGTACCCAAAGGCGGAGCTTCTCTGGGCACACTGTAGCTTCTGGAGCAGTGGCGAGGGTCCCTTTGTTCGGTGTACCCCCCTTTGAATGACTGAGACGACTTGGGTTCTTTCCGGGGGTCCGTACCGTTCCGAAAAGTCTTGTTGAACTCTTGACTTTGGCTAACGCGCTGAGCAGACGTTTTATTATGCTGTTCGGATAAGGAATGGGGAATGGTCAACTTTGGGACGTTCCGAGCTATTCCCCTCAAAGATGCATCCCCCGTCGTGGAAAATAAGGCCTTTCGGTGGGTGTCCCTCAGAAGGGACCATTCAAGGTTCATATCTTGAAAGAGAAGCGAATCGCCAGGCCCGGGCCGGCGTATTGTTTTACCACGATGTTCACACCAGTACCCAACTAGGCGTATAAGCAACTTTTCTCGCCAGGCCATGCTCTGGGTACTCATCCCAGGGCTTTTGGCCCAATCCAGGTGTCGATCTGCGTAGAAGTTTGCAACCGACATTGTGTTTTCCACGTCGGTCACCCTCCAACCCCGAGTGACGTTTTCCCAGAAGCCTGGAAGGGCTTGAAGGTCAATGTAGAAGGCCAAGACTCGGAAGAGGACGATTAAGTTGCTGATGATGGTGGTATTCTCGGACGGATCAGTTCGGCTTGCATATCTTCTGAAAGTCAACACCCTGTGACTGGTTTGACAATCATTAAGAACCGGATAGCTCGGATAGTTTTCGCCAAAGCTGAACCCAGGAAGCAGCGGGAAACTCATTCTCATGGGAGGTAGGAACATCTTGAGACAGCGTCCGGGCCCAAGGGAGTGGGACGATCCGAGACTGAAGAAGCGTTACTTCTGAAGAGGCAGAGGTAATTGATAAGAAGATGGAGGGCGACCGAAATCAAGACGTCCAACTCTATGAAGTATATGATAGATTGAAGGGAGGGAAGCTCCTTCTGTCGTGGGCCACCTCTTTATTTTACTAGCATACATACTACGGGCGAATGTCAGCTCGAACGCCATCCGCGGTGTAAAATTTTCTCCAAGGCGTTGCCCCGGACCCAGAACGAAGATGCAGCTCGCTTACCTGCAGTCCAGAATCCTCGTGTTTGACGGGGGCTGGAAAAAAGAAAAGAAAAACTGCAGGCCAAGCCCTTGTGGCCGCTCGCCACCCAACAAGCTGATATGCTAGGTATTGTTAGGAAATTGACACCGAGGAGAACGATAACCTGTGCTACACTCCTATTACATCCTAAATATTAAGGAATACTATCATTTAATTGAACGGGTGGTAGGTCAATGGAAGCCTAACGCTCTGGTCCTGGGTGCATATCATGCTGTGCGACCGAAATTGTGACTCGCAGAAGAAAGTTCTGATGCAGGAGTGCTAGCATGGGTTTCAGGAAAGCTACTGGACGAAAAGAAGGATTGTTACCTGGGTGAGCAAGTGATTATCGGCTCGATGCTGCGCAACCAGCAGTCGGTGTGTGACAGGATGAAACTCGCACATAGGTTGTTGCCCAGGGGATGTCAGGGTGGCTGGGAGACGGCTTTGTGATTTCTCGAGGCCATTTGTGACCTGTATCATGCAGGGAAGCGCCATTATATTCGGGTAGACGCATATGATGTTGCATCTGAGGGTGGGTATTCTAGCCACTGCGTATTCTAAGGTCAGACTGCATGGCGGACATTGCCAAAGCGAGCACTGGCAGTCACAAATAAGATCGCATGAAGGCAGCAGTAAATGTGTCTAAGATTCTCTTGTACACCAAGGCAGTGTCCCACGCGAGTTGTCTAAATTCTATTTTACTCCCATTTCACATGTTGCCAGCCCTGTACGTTTTCTCTTATGTGCGAGGCGAAATCAGCTACGATATCGTCCTCAACAATGTCTCGGATATCCTCTGCACCCTCGAACACCCATGTCTTGAGTCGGGACTGGAAGGAGCCCTGAACTCGACCTTTGAGTCCGGAAACCCGCGATTGACCGTCCTTGAGCGCCGCGGCGGCGGCGGACTGCATGGCCGTGACCTGGCCGACTGTGTCCTTGGGGAGGTTACTTTGACCGGATCGGTCGCGCTCCTTTTCATGTTTGTTAAAGTCAAGTATCCACTGTGCTGTGCCTGAAATAGCAATCGCTGCATCTCGGTACATTGCCAGGCCATGCATAGATCCAAGCGCAGAAATAGTTCCCTCAAGACTGTCATCGTCCTCGGAAGGAAGCTGAAGACGAAGAGTGTCCAACGCAGCCTCTGCAGCCTTGGAGAGCTGGCCGAATACTTCCTCGAAGCCAGCTGACCGTGGACTAGCAGCGCAGAGAGGAATAATGGTGCTCAGGAGATTGATGAGATCGTAGTAGACAATCTCTGGTGCTGTGAGCTCGTCATCGGGGCCGGGGAGAAAGCGGGACAGAGAATTGCTGATCTGGCTCAGGGACTCCAGCACAAATAGCTGGTCCGATGCTAGTGTGGTATTGACAACTTTGTATGCTGAAGGGGGCTTGTACCCCAGGGTTTCCTGAAAGCCTTCAGCAAGAAGGGCAAGGTGAAGTCGGCGATTCTGACCACACATTGGGGGTTAGTCGTAGGACCTGCAAGGACGAAGGATGTAGAGCTTACGCTTGGTATCGGCCCAACTCGCAAGCGAGAATAGAGCGGGGATACTGCACTGCTCTCCCATGAAGGGAAAGATCCATAATCAATAACACTCTTCAGTTCCGTGTCATCAGTAGTTTCAGCTGTTACACGAGGTTAGAACCGACTATAGAATGGTTGTGCTATCACTTACTGTAGCGATCCTCGCTGAAAAATTCCCAAGTAGGGCAGCCAAGGAGTCTCTCAGATCTGTTCTCTTCCACAAGACTCATTGCCCGCGTGCAACTTCTCCGAAGATCATTGATGTATTTAGGGATACTCAAGACCGAGCTATAGCTCTCTGATTCGAAAGCGTCAATAAGGCGACGAGGCATCCTGAGCTTCAGTGAAACATTGAAGTGCGATGAGAGCATATCCATCACTTGCCAGCCTGTATTGTCGGAAGGTGATAGGACATTTGGAGATAGTGTTGAAAGGCGATCGTAAAATAGGGGACCCAACGAATCCATGATTGTGCGCTTAATGGTAAGATCTTCCAACAGTTGGCGAGACCTAGGGGCAGAGCCTACAAGAAGGTGCATTTGGAGGAGAAGGAGTAAGAACTGGCTGTGTTTCGGGTTAAATGCAAGTTGATGTTCAAGGAGGAGCATTGCTTGGAGTATGTGTCGGGTCGATGCTGCGGAATAAGGAGGCTTAGAATCGAGCTTGGCATGCTGAAGGCTGCAGAAAGCGATCAGAAGCACAAGTTCTGAAAGGGTATCGGATTCGGCAGAAAAACCATCTGGTGATTCCTCAGTGATGGACTTGTAGATTTGAATTCCTTGCCATGAAAGAGTAGAAAAGCAAGATAGGCATGAGGGTGTGCTTGTCTCGCTTTCACACAATAAACACTTGTAGCTGGGGGAAGACCCATGGGTAGTAGTATATGATAGGGGTGATGTTGAAACGAAGTACTGGACTTTGAGAGTGAGGACTTTGATAGCTTTTGAAGCCCGACCTTCAATCTCGTTTCGTTGAACAAGGTTTGGGAGAATCTTGTGTGCCAGATTCTTCATGCCCAAAGGACCCAAAAGTTCAATGAAAGGTTTGATATCATCAAAACAAGCTGGACTCGTAGCATGGACTTCGATATATTGGGTAAGCTCTTGTAATTGTAAAGAGGGCGCCGCATTACTCCTAGAATCTTCCTTGTCGTCAGTGGCAAGATAGAAGGCAGCAGACACCCGAGCAAGCTGCAGGTTCCGCTTATATATGGGGCGCAGCTTTGTTGATTTGGATAGTTTTAGGAGAAGTTCCTTTACTGTTTTCGGGGCACTGTAGACTGTCAGGGAGCTGATACTTTCTGAATACTAGCTCAGACACCTACCTCTCGTCAGAAGACTTGATGTGGTTTGCAGCCTCGATGAATTCCTTCCATATCGACCAGTCCGAAGCCATCAGATTTGGCTCGCCAGATTCATCGACCTCAGATAAGCAGTCATTGCATAGACGGAAAATAGAAATCCAGTTGCTGCCGCGACGGTTATTGGCAATCACTCTTAATAAAGGTTCCTTCCGGCCCTGACAGAATTGTGCAATAGGGCCGAAGACTGGACTGTTTGTAACCTTCTCTAGGTCTGCTGATGACCCATGGGTTTCCATGATATCATAGAGTAGGAGGATCTCCTCTTCTGATTGAATGCCCCGGGCCGGTGCCGGAGCAGCTGAGTCCGCTTGGAATGCCTGTGGCTTTTCTGTTAGAAGGAGATGCTCGGGCTTGAAATACGTTCCGAAGGAAGAGACAATACCTGCTCTGTGGCCTGAGCAGCTCTCTCTATTTGTTTCAGCGCTAAAGTACCATAGAGTTTCTTCTTGGTAGCATCAGCTTGTGAGCTTGTCTAAGATTAATTGTCAGCAGAGAGTTGGCTAGCACTGAATAAAATAAGTTGGTTACCGAGAGAAGATAAGTGACGACGATGTTCCAAAACAAGAATTGTCTCTCTTGAGGGAACGATCTGTCCAAAGTAGCGGCAATCTATTACGCATGGTTAGTTGATAGTCTCCTTTCCCTTGACTTCTAGCAACTGGAACATACCTGTTGAGAGCTAGCGAGGTCCCAGTGCAAAAGACACGACTCCAAAGCACGCGATGCTGACACTTTGTCTTTGGGAGCAGCTTTCACAGCTCTTACTCGCAACGGGCCAAGAGTCTCCAGGAACTCATCTTCATGAGTGAGATCTCCGGCTGCCCATTCCAACAGATCGATGGCGTCCACGTCCTTGATAACAGTGCCGTCCTTGACGTACTGATATAGAGCCGTGACAGCCGCCAGTTTCTGAGCTGGGTCATCAAGCTGCGACTCTGCAACGACTTTTAGGATCTATAAAAAGGGGTTAGCAATTGATACCAGGCAGATAAATATGGATATTGGGAAAATCTTGGACCTGGTAATATTGGTCGTTCAGCATCCGCATCCGCTTCTCCGCGAGTCGGATCACAACTGGCCAGTTGCCGTCTGAGAACGCAGACTGCAGCTGAAGGTCGACTCCATTCTTGAGCCGAGGTCGTGAACGGTTCATTTGAGCTCGTGGGACTCTAGCAGGTCCCTGGTTTGAATTTGAGTTTGAAGAGGATGTAACAAAAATACCGATTATTTTTCTCCCTTTTTTCCCTCTTTTCTCAGCCGTGCATTTCTTTTGAGAGCCACAGGTAAGTTTGGCGGGGACTTTGACAAAGCGAGAGCGAAGGAGAGCTCGTGAGCTGTGGCTGATACTACCCCGCTAAAGTGGGCTCATGACGTGTGGCGCAGGCCTTAATGATCGAGCATCGTGCATTACGCTGGACAGAACTCAAGAGCTAATTGATCCTGCCGAGGAGCTCTGTTATATTGCATACAAGACTTCTTGATGGAATGTTTAGTCCTCACTACATCGAAGAAGAGAAAAATCTTGGACTCCAATAGGAAAAATAGCAAGCCATTCCGGTACAACTTCCAGAGGCCGTACTCATACACCTGCCCCAACATGTTGATATACAAGTAAATATACACATCTATCTAGAAATTATATCACGGCTTCATAACCATTCGAATCGACTGCGGTTTCGACTGCGGTTGCAAGCCATTATCCCATGGTGTTATACAATTGATGTTTTTTTCTTCGTTTCTTCTTCCAGGCTTCTCGCTGTCATTCCGACGTCGGCTCTTTCGGTTTCGATGGAACTCCCCGTCGCCTTTCAGTCTGGATAAGAACATCTGTCAGCAAATAAACATAAAAAAGAAGGTCGCATGAAGTGAATGGCCACATACCCAAGCTTGCTTGCAGTCACGGTAGGCTCTAATCATCGTGGTCAGCTCGATTCTCTCCTTCAACCGCAAACGGCCCAACTACACATACTGAAAGTACTCTCCGCACATAGACTTGTCGCCGCCGTTGCGGAAAAGACATTTGTAGCTTTGCTGCGCGGCCGCTTGGCAGGGATCGTAGAATTCGCTGGTGGATTTGCTGGTATTGGAGGTTAGCGAGGGAGCTCGTGCGGCTGCGCGGATGGTTACTTGCTTCTCGAACTTGCGCCGGGTCTGCTTGTCCCAGACTGGTGATTCGGCCTGGGAAGGGTCTTGGGGTTCGGAGGACATTGCGCCGCTGCTGGCTGCTGGAAGAATTGCGGAATTGTTCGAGATTTGCGAAACGGCGCTATCAATTGACGTTCACGATAATTGTTCCGAGATGAAGTCATCGCCTTTTTCTTAGGACGGGTAAATCTCGGCGACGTGACTCTGCTCATGAAGGAATCTGATTTGCAATTCTCGACTCTTAACTTTTTTTTTCAATTTTTTTTTTTTTGCCTCTGCCTTTCTTAAGTTTTCTTCTTTCTTTCTTTAAGAATATTTTATCGTCTTCTTGAGTAGAACGAATTTTGTGATGGAGCAATGCTTCCCTGCCATTCAGCTTGCCCAGAAGCCATCAGATGTCCACGCCGTTTGATCTTCGCCCTCAGTCGCTTTGAGTAAGCCTTCTCTTGCCTTTTCAATCTTCCCTGCTGTCTCCTTACTGCAGCACAAGCCGGCGTCGAATTCCTTCAAATCCGAGTCGCCAAACATTGCCAGAACCGCCAGCCCCAGATATGAGTGGTAGATATCTGGGACTGTACCAGCAAACTTGCCAAAGCCGCCTATAGGGTGCTGTGTAACTTCAAGTAGATATCTCCTGGAGCCCTCAACGCTCAACGGATAAGGGTCACCGAGCATCTACACGTAGGAAGTCAGTGACGGCAATGCGGAGAGAGAGAAGGGGAGGCCACTCACAGCCAATGTAGCTGCTGCCCACCAGACGTAGCATGTATCTGCCTTCTTGTTCCATCTACCATTGAAGCCGACATGACGGCAGCCCTCCTCTAAAGTCAAACTCCCAACTGCGTCCTGGATAAAGTTCTCTTCCTCTTCCTCGTCCTCGTCTTCTTCCTCGGCGAGGTAGTTGATCTGCCGACCAGCAAGGAACCTCAGCATGCCAGGCCGGTCAGGGATGCCTTGATCCATTGCCGTCAGGGATGAGGGCTCCGGTCGTGGAGAAGAAGCCGAGCTGGGTCGATCTAAGAACCACAATGCGCCCACGGCGCAGTAGGCGTATCCAGCTGTAAACAAAGTTAGGACCAAGTAGGATGCGCACACCCCGGACCAAGTTTACCACTAGAAACTATTGAACTTGGACGTACCGTGTGATTCATAATCTGAGAACTCAGCGAGACCACCATCGTACGTCTGTGAAAGATGTTAGAGCAACTGCATTTTGTAAAACTTGGGATAACACTGGGCTTGGTCTCACCTGTCCCCTTCGAAGATGTGCAATCATGGCTTTCACATCGACATCGTCCTCCCATGGCTCATCGTCATCTTTGCGATGGCCTCTCAACATCCACCGGATGCAGCTGGCCAGATAGCTGTGTCTCGTATCTCTGCCACCAACCGGCTTGCCCTCCCACAGGTGCTGTCCGAAGCTCCCATCGTCTCTCTGCAGCTTCTTCAGCCACCTCAGGAGTTTTCCCCGCCTGACGCCGGCGAACGCAGCCTTGGCCTCCTCATCGCCGTCGGAAGCAATGGCGAGGGTAATGAGGGCGAAGAAAGTTGCGGCCAGATTGGCCGTGCCCTTGTGGCTCTCCTGGCCTGGCAGGCTGTGGGTTGGGCTGCCGCAGAAGCCACCGTCCGGGTGCTGTAGGCTAAGAACCCAGGAACGGATCTTGGTGCGATCAGTGGAGCTGAAGGGGATTGAGAGCAGATCGTACGCAGAGGTGATGAAGCATGCCCACATCAAACGGGTCGAGTCTGAGCTGGTGTATGGGGTGGGAAGGTAGCTGTTGAAACATCGTTGCCAGTACTTGATGTGTTTCTCCTTGTTCAGGGCCGCCATGTTGGTGGATATGGTGCCGTTGGCAATAGCCACTCACACGACCTATGCCGATACTCGGGATGCGGTTACGTTGTTGGGATGATTTGTTTGCAGCTTACTGGGGAGAGCAGTCAAGGTGGGGGATTTGATTTGGAGCTTCAACAATATGATGCTTGGGGCACATGAAGTCTGTCCCGCCCCCACATGGAAATCAACAAGCTGCCAGTACTTGACATATAACACCAAAGTACAATTTGTCTCACAGAATGAAGATGGAAAGAAAATGATATATTGTTTCATACCATCCGCCCTATCTAACGCCAGGTTTCTTTATATCAAGAGAGGGGTCATCCCGTGGTCTTTGTTCTTGGATGGTCCATCACAAGCCAAAAGGCAGCCTGCCGTGGTGGAGCGATGCACAACACAGCACCCTGAGCTCACTAACCGATAAGGCGGCCATCTAATCTAATCAGTTGTAGCGCGCTGCCACGTCCTCGCCTGGTTTAACGAATTCCGTACCGAATCACGATGCGCATTGCCAACACCACACTGTCGCTCCAGCCAGTCCTCTAGGCTTCCTTCGACCGCCCTGCTCTCCCGCGTGACCTAGTGCTTCGTCAACATTGCAGGCGCCTATTCCACTCGTTCGCAGCGCTTCTTTGCTCTCTCTCTCTGCCAACTTGACTTCTCCCTGAGCCTTCGCATAGTTTGACACACATAGCTCGACGGTCCACGCCAGTCTAATTCTGAAACCTCCATGATAGACTAAAACGAGCACGCGACTCCTCGACTCGACTCCGGCGCAGCTTCTCCGACCCTTTTAGATTTCTCACAAACCATATCTTCGCATATTCGCAACTATGGCTTTGATAACTTCCACGACCATCATCACCTCCGTCTCCCTCTTCCACCTCACCCTCGCCTTCTTCTTCCTCTCCAACCCGCGAACCATCAACGAACAAGCGTTAGTATGGGTTCTCGGTAACAGCATGGGCATGGTACGTGACTCCCACCTCTCTCCCCTTTCACATCCTACCCCTCGCTAACATTCCTCCCCCGTCTAGCCCAACAGCCGCGGGTTCGAAACCCAAAGCCACCCTCTCGGACTCCTCTCCGTCGTCCTCGCCCTCGTCGGCATCAGCGATCTCGTCTCCCTCTCCATGCCCGAGGAAATCACCCTCATCTACTACTGGGGCGCCCAAGGTAAGAACCTCCCCCACCCAGCCAAATCGCCCGACTCAGATATTGATAAGTCCTAGCTCCCATCCGCTCCCTCTTCTTCATGATCACCCTCCTCTACGCCTTCCTTACCGGCCCTTCCTCCCCCTTCTTCGCCCCCGCCAACCCGCGCGGCCGCTTCGCCCACCCGAGCGCCCACAACCCCTCCTACACCCCGGGGACATGGGGCGGCGACACCCTCAAGAACAGGGTCGCCTTCACCTTCCTCTTCCTCGAGATGATCTCCTGGTTCTGGGTGTGGATCACCCTGCGTGAGGAGAGGCAGGCGCTCGTCCAAAAGCTGCGGAAGAGGAGCGGCGAGGACAAGGACGACTGAGCGACCCCGAGGAGAATAACTGTGTGCGGGGAGGTGGTTAGAATGACTACTTTTTTTTTTTTTGGCATGAATACTTTAGCGGGTTGGTTCATCTTGTATCCGGCACATTTCTTTGACGTAGAGAGAACATGACGATCAAATGGATATATTTGCGCTCTCATTTTCCGGGATTAGGCTGGCCGTCGAAGCAAATATGTACTTTTTTTCTTGATGAGATGCCATATTGTTTGGCATCCTAAGCGAGCATGGCGGGTGGGGGAATCTTCGACTTCACATGAGATCAACGGATCCTGAGGCGAAAACTAGACTGTACGGACACCACAAATTCATAGTAAAGTCACTCATAGCGGGAGGAAGGTCACACATATTGATCTATCAGAAGGTTTACGAGTTTGAAATTCTTTACATTAATGAATAGAAGGGCCATGTCTGAATAAGAGGTGAAGAGAAGAAGTTGGACGGCATGCCAGCCTGGCAAATCGATCTACGGTATATAAGTCCACTGAAGCAAATCAACCCCATCCGCTATTCCACCACTGGTATCAATAGACACGATATGTGTACCAACGTAAACGCAAGAATTTGATGAGGTAAAGGTTAACAAGAATCGAAGATGGATGCGGGGAGTCGAGTTTAAGTCAGGGGAAAGGCGAAGAGGGCCCAACTTGACACTGGGTGAAAACAAATGGCCTTTTACATGAGGAATTGTAGAGTGAATATGGCTAAAAGTAGGGCGTAGAAACGGAAGAGGACATGGAGGGCATGGGGATATAAGGGAAAATGGTCCGTCGAGGTAAACAGTAAAAGGGCTACTTTTCGGCTGCCCTTCTTTTGCTTTGATAAGTGTCATAAAAAGTCGTTTCAAAAATTTGCGGAGCCCGTTACTTCAGTCGGATGGGGGAATCAAGGGAGATCTTTGTGTCTTCGGATCCATGGGCCTGGTCAGTTGCGTGGATACCATTTTTCGCCAGCGAAAGCGCGGTATCTTTAGTTGGCGTGGGCTCATCATCCTCGAGGATCTGTTCAGTGATGATTTCGCCAGGTCCACTGACGATCGGTGAGAAGGACTCAACCTCCTCGATGAGCTCTGCATTTTCTGAGGGATCTTCATCCTCCTCCTCGATAGTGATTTCTCCAGACCGACGGCCAAGCGCTGATCCACTGCCGCTCCTGGAATGACCTGCCGACCCTAGGTTGCGGTGGCCACCAGAAGGACTACCCCCGAAATTGAGCGATGGGCCTTTGAACAGGTTCTTCTTTCGCTTGGCGAACATTACACCATTTGCGAATGGAATAGGGGACCCCAGAGAGTCGTTGTGAGATGGCATGCCCTCGTTATACAGGCTCAAGGGGGCAGGTGCAGCTCGGACAAGTCGAATGTTGGAAGGGAAAGCGTTTGATGTTGGTGTTGCCGGCAACACCTTGACTGAATGGTGAGGGGATTGGCCACGATGGGGTGTTTTGGATACCGTTATTGATGCAGCGGAGCTTGTCGAGGATGCCTTGGAGTGCGAGTGGCGATGATGATGCAGAGACCGTACAGAGGATACAGATGATGAGGTCGACTTCCGTCCCCTGAGCCCAGCTGACGACCGGCGCATCCCAGAGCGCGGCGTCATCGGTGATGGTGACAATGATTGTCGCTTGTAGGAATTGGAAGGGGTGCGTATCCGTCCTGGGGGCTGCGGCTGGTGCTGCTGCAGTCTCGAAGAGGTGAGGGAATGCCCAGACTTGCCATTTCTAAGAGCAGATGGGTGAACCGCCACACTCGCCCCCCCTTTGGCGTGGCCATTAGCAATCACTCCCTTCGGAAGAGGGGCGGAAGTCATTCCTCTCAAGGAATCAGAGCCAGGATACTTGCTCGTCTGAGGTCTTGGAGTTACGTCCTTGGTTTCCTTGGCATTTCCACCGCCCAAGTTCGGGGTGCTATGGCTTGTGTTCTTCTCATTGAGCCTCTTGGATCTCTTGGTCGTATTTTCGAAAATCCAATGTGTCCAGTTCTTCCAGTGGGCAACGATGACCTGAGCTGGCTTTCTCCGTCCCTTCGGCTCGCCGTGCTTGGCATCTGATCCCGTCGTACTGCTCCCACCCCCTAAGGCATCCGAGGTCGTTACAAGGTGGAGGGTCGATCCACGGGATCTAGCACTTCGGATCACCCCTTCCTTCGGTGGCGGAGGCGGTCTTCGTTGACGCGAAGTCGAAACAGACCGGATCGAATCTTTGTCGATTGGTGTTGGAGGAATCTCATCTGGACTCTGGGGTTCGAACCGCCCACCGCTATCGGGAAGCGGTGGAATCTCCTTGAGATGCAGCTCATTGTAGTACTGTGCGCTCCTACGCTTACTCCTACCTCGGCTGCGGGATGCAGAACCCTCTCCTGTCCTAGTCAGTGACAGTCCCCCATCCTCATCCACATCTTGAAGCATGGGGGCCAAGCGCTCTAGCCGACTTGACGCAGCTGAAACTCGGCGCATGCTCTTGGTCTCGGCTTCTCGCTCTTTGCGCTTCCTCTCTCTTCTCTTCATCTTCCGCGTCTCTTTCTCCAGCAGTAGTGTCCACCATCCAGCGAGGGCATCGCACTTTTCCGCCGTCACGCTCTCTATCACCGCATCGGTATCTACTCCGGCTGCTCGCATTCGGTGCAGACACTCGTGTTCTAGCGCAGTCGAGAATGGCGCGGGTGACTTGACGTCAAGTATCGCTTGCTGTGCAGGTGCATGTTCAGCGATGAAGGGATGCGCAAGGATATCAGGAAGCGATGGCCGTGGAAGCGGCCGTTTAGACAGCAGAGCCTTCAGAAGAGATACTGCATCGGGAGAGAGGCTTCCAGGGTACTTGGGTTCCTCCGTCAGGATTCTGGTTCGAGTCACGTTATCGTCGTCATCGTCGAAAGGTAGCTCGCCGCAGAGCAACGCATAAAGGATCACACCCAGGCTCCAAACATCGACCTTTTCGCCCGCATACTTCTCCCCTCTCAGCATCTCGGGTGCCGAGTAGCATATCGTACCGCAGAAGGTTTGCAGATGGTTCGTCCTCCCCTCGTACTCCCTGGTGAAACCAAAGTCTACCAGCTTCACATTTTCATGCGTGTCGAAGAGGATGTTCTCCAGTTTCAGGTCTCGGTGGACGCACGACTGCTTGTGGACGTAGGTGACAGCACCTACGAGCTGGGCAAAGATCTTCTGGACCTTGGGAACAGGCAGGGGGCCGTGCTCCAAGAGATAGTCGTATAGTTCGTCGCCTACATACATCAGTCGAGTTAGGCCAGTGACATGATACCAGTATTGGCCGAGATGGCCGAATTGGAAGAAGGGACGTACCGGCGCAATACTCCAGGACCAACCAAACCATACTCTCGGTCACAATAACCTCATACAGCCGCGCGATATGGGGGTGGACAAACTGTCGGTGGTGGTGAATCTCGCGCGCGAGGTTCGAGTCGCCTTTGTTGGCCGACTTGAGCACA